CCGGCCGACTGACGTCACGTCGCTCTATCGACCAATGGCACAACCCCATGTGACGCAGCTATAAGTCGCGCTGCTCTGCCACTGCTGCTGCTGCTGCTGCTGCTGCTGCTGCTTTATATACGTACATACGCACACACCATGCTTCAGCTCGATCTCGACGCTGCTGCTGGTGCTGCTCCGAATTGTACTCGACGCGCATTTCACGTACTTTATCATTAACGAGTTGGTGCACTACTGCAGCCAAAAGTCTCTGGGTGCATTTTATTACATCGGATGAATCGGGGGCCTGTGCTTCGCAGCGCCGACGACGAGCTAATTATCAGCAGCGATATATGTACGCGCCGTTGCATGCAAATCGCGGCTTATTGTTTTTCGAAATAGTATAATTTGACAGGCCTACGTATACGTGATAAAAGAGCTGCTGCTGGGCGCGATATGTCAGCGATGCCACGTAGAGATCTGCGTCGATCTGCGCACGAGAGTCGAGAGCTGTGCAGCGGTGCAGAAGAGCAAGAGAGCCAAGCTCAACTCAGGAGTCTTTCTCGCTGCTATAGAAAGAGATAAAATCGCACGCGAGAGAGAGAGAGAAAAAGAGAGCCGAGAAGAGTTTCACCGACTGCACCGGAGCTCTAGCGCAGCGAGTACCTTTATACGGGCCCGTGCTTCAACTTTGTGTGTGTGTATACACTGCAGCGATGGGTGTCGGTGCTAGCTAGCATGCAGCCGAGTATAAGCGAGTGGGAGAGTCGAGAGAGAGAGAGAGAGAGAGAGAGAAAGAGCATGAGCCACTTGCAACGTTCGCTATATATATTCCGCAGAACAGAACGAGTCACAATCGCAAAGTCGCGATCTTTGCACACGGACGCACGACCGCTCACACATCTATACGGGTCTTATGTGCGCGAGTGTGCGTCCTTGTCGCGTACACTGCACTTGTCGAGCGAATAGCCGACGCGGCGACACATGCATACTGCATACACATACACATGGCACAGCACAACAACATCGCCAGCGTCGTCGTCAGCCGTTTTACTCCCTCTTTTGCGCCTACTGCTGCTGCTGCTGCTGCTACTGCTGTGCCGTGTGGCAAGATAACACACAGGCAACGTTACAGCAGAAACAGCAGCAGCGCGCAGAAATGCAGAAAATAAAGAACGAGGACGTGTCAGTGTGCGAGTCGCTGTGTGCACCACCAATGCAATACGTTTACATGCGCGAAACTCTATATCGAGCTCGATGCAAGAATTTCCTCGCGGAGCCCGGTTAACTATTGTTCATCATAATGCAGCGAGTGTACGTACCAGTGGATTTTCAACTCGAACGTCAAACTCCCACGTGATCGATAATCGGCCGCACAAAGACAACGATGCATCACGTTCTTTTTTCTTCTAATTAGAAAAGTGATCGGCGACGCTTCCATGTAATTCGAAAATCGAGCTACATTTTCTGTAAAGATCCCAAAGTGTGGAAAAGCGGTGGTTTAAATAACCCACTCACACACACACACACACGAGCGAGCGCGACCAAACAAACACTCACGCGCCGTCCACGCGGAGACGTTATAGTCTCTTTGTGTATAGGTGCGTAACAACTCTGCCGTTGTATACGTGAGCCGAGCGCGTGCGATTTGTATCGGTGTGCCGCCGCCGCCGCCGCCGTCGTCGTCGTTGTCTACAGTCCAACTTGCTCCGAAAACACAGAAGCAGCCGATCGCAGCGGATCAAACACACGCTAATCTATCACTGACCGTTGCTGATTCGGAGCAGGCATCGATCCGGAATCGGAGCTCGACATATGCTAATGACGTTGGTATTAGGCACGCTTAGAACCTCGGCAGCAGCAAGTGAGCGACAATGGAGTCGGCGGCACATGGAAGCACGAGACACGAGATGACTGCGAGCGCCTCATAATATGCAGGCCGATGCAGTATAGGATTTATATAAAGAGCTCGTTGGCGCGCGAGTGGCCGATTGTTTATGCGTTATACCGTATGCAGGTGCTAGGCACAAGAGACTCGTATACGTAACTGCACACTCGCGCGTAAATTTGCAGACGGCACACAGTGGAGCACCTCTTGCAGAGAGACCGAGTGCGGAGACTCGCGCACGCCTGGCGCAGTATGGCATTTATATCGTACAAGCTGATAGTTGTGCGCGCGAGCTGCGGAGAAGAAGCGGCGGCATAACAGCAGCAGCAACGTGCTGACTGCCGATGCTCCGGCTGCGTCGAGGAGAGCGAGCGAACGAGGCGAGAGCGAGCGCGAGGGAGAGAGCGGCCGGGTCGGCTCGACGCTCGCACCAATACCACCACAGCACTACCTACGAGCACGTTATATTTCGCGTGTGCAGGCGTACGTATCGGGCTGCATGTATATCGTGTATGCGGAGCGAACGAACGATCGCGAGCGCGCGCACCGCCAACACACTCGTGCACCACTACAGAGAGCCAAGCTGCTATATAATATATACGTGTGTGCTTACACACAGGCGCATTGGCTGCTTTTGCGCGCTCGCCTCTACTGTTGGCGAATACGATGCTGCTGCTGCTGCTGCTGCCGCTGCGCCAAAGCTCTATCGCATGCGGCTCGTGCTATATAACAGACTGCCGAGCAGCAGCGTGCGCGCGTTCCTCGCCCTGTCTGCTGCTGCTGCTGCTGCTGCTGCCTGGCCCGTTTCGCGCGTTACCTCACTCGCACTCGCTGCAAATATATAGAATGCGGCTTGGTGGTCGTCGTGTGTGCCGTGTAACGTGCACTTGTGTGAGTGTGCAACGTGTGCGCGAATATAGCAGCGGCCAATTCTGCTTCTCGGGCTGATCTGCGCGCGCGTGACGAGAGAGAGAGAGAAAATGACTGCTGCTGCTGCTGCTTTGCGAATATACAGCGAGCGAGGGAGCCACGACTTGACCGCTCCGAACTCCCTACTCCAGGCGAGCACGCAGCAGGCAGGCACAGCACGCTTCTCCGCATGTATCCTGTATACATGTGCAAGCCCTATATCTATACGTACCGCTGTTGCTCTCCCTCGCCGCGTGAGTGCGACTAACGCACACCTATATACGCACGACTTTGCTATATAAATACGCACATGTACGAGCGCAGACGCATCCTTTCCAACTCTCACAGACACATAGACACGCGCAAACTCGCACACTAACTAGCCTGGCCAATTTTTTAATAGGCACGTTGGGTCTCGGTATAGTTTGAAAGCAGAGCGAATAGCTGGACCCGATGCTGCTCGTCGTATTCGGTCGCGGCGTGCTGCTCCAATAATAAACATAAAGATAAAAGCGAGTAAAAGAGAGAGAGAGAGATTGTAGAGGCTCTCTTTTGCCGATCCAAATGTACATCGGCGAGCAAAATGTGCCTCTATACATTTAATGCACGAGTTTACTAAACGGACATGTGCACAGTGTACGAGAGAAAGAGAAAGAGAATCGGCGCGGGAGCGCGTGACGCTGAACGACGCTTTGCAAAAAAAACAACACGTATACGCACCGAATATGCTAGATGTATACGGCTCTGTATATCGCAATATATAGATACGTATATAAGGGAGCAGCTATGTACTACCTATAGAGCAGCGACATATGTGTGCACTCGCGTAATATAGGCAGCAAGTACACGCTTACTCACGCACACACATATGCCAAGAAGCCGATTCGCACACGAGTCTACCTATATATACTTACGCGTAACTTATATACAGCGCGAATAATACATAACACAGAGCGACATAGCGGCACATGCGCTAGATCGAGGCGCGCAAGGGATTACGGAGTCGCCGTCGCTTCTGAACTTAGCCAGAGCCACGCTCCGATCTATGAATGTGCAGTATAATATCCGCTCGAACGCGCCAATATTATGAGTGAGACTTGAAAACTCAGCGCGTATCGTTTATCCTACATTACACATCGGTATATTGAACTCGCATCGCCGAGAGCTCGTGTTATGCATCACCGTGTGTCGCTACTGCTGGTCGTCGTAGCACGAGTACGGTTGCATACATTTTATATAAAGCAGAAAAAGCTACTTGCGGCAGGTAGCTAGGCATCACATCTCCGACTTGTTCACTCGCGCTACATAATAGCATCGCTTGAAAAGTTGCAGTTTTTTTTTTTTTTTAATAGGTTACAGCATATGTATACGGCAAGCTCACAGACAGAGAGAGAGATAGAGAGAGAGAGAGAGGCAGGCAGGATCCGCTGCAGTTTACATTCGCCGCTACTGCCGCCGCCGACGACGACGACGACGACAAGCGAGTCGATGACGAACGCAAGAACGTGTTCACTCATGTGTAATATGTAACGTGTGCCCGACTCTGTGTGCGAGTACACGGATACGCGCTCGTATCGGATGTGTGTATGTGCCAAAAGCAATGTGTTGTGCACAGACATCCGAATGTACGATACGTATATAGCGTAGGTACACGCGAGAGCGAAAGAGATAGAAACACAGTTTGCATATATATATATATATATATATAGAGAGAGAGAGAGAGAGAGAGAGAGAGAGAGAGAGGTAAGAGGGGAATGGGGCGTGTTGTATAGGTATAGTATGTAATGTGTATGCGCCGCTCGCTGCTGCTGCCGTTGGCTTCGTGTATTTTATGCCGCAAGTCGCACGAACGTTAAATAAAGACAGCAGAGCGCACGAGAGCGAAAAAGAGGCGGCTTGTGTGTGCAATTCTCGTGAGCTCGTGTGTACGTGTGTTGCTGCTGCTGAGCTCCGAGAGCGCGTGTGTATATAATGCTATTCATGTGTGGGTATAAAATATCGGAGCAGCCTGCTATGCACAGAGTGGTAGTACGTGCATGTATGCGTGCCTGTGTGTGTATTTGTGCGAGGAGCACTGCGAACGTGTATACTGATCGCGAAACGTTACAACGCACACGCGGCCGACGCGCTCGAGCACTGATAAATTTTGCACTTTACCATTACAATAATACGCATCTATATACATATAATATATATCAAGCAATTGATGAGCACGAGGACTTACGTGTTTTTTTCCTCTTCTCTTTTTTTTTGCTTCTGCTGTTGCTGCCGATGCACGCGGAGAGTCGTTGGCTCTTAAGTTGGCGTTTAATTCAAAGTCGATGCAGAAAACGAAGCGATCGAGCGAAAGAGAGAGACGACGACGACAACGGGAGAAGACGAAGAAGAAAATCAGGCCGCAGTTCGGGAGACGATCACGGAAGAGGAGTACACCGACACACAAGTTGCAATTGGCGACCAGATATAATCTTTCTCTTCTACCGCTGTTGCACTGCCCCTGATGCTGCTGCTGGTGCCGATAGTTGCTCGCCTGGCTTGTCGTTTTTCGCCGTAGATCGTCTTCTTATAACTTTTGCGTTACTATATACTGCCTCGGATGAGAGAGAGAGAGAGAGAGAGCGACGTATGCGTTCGCAAATGCTTCGATATATGTATACGTATTTATATGCGCTCGCAGATTTATATATATAACGTGTAGTTCAGCGACGTAGACGTGTGTTGCATGTATATAAGTATGCTTATACGTGTGCTTGGTTACTCTCGTTCCACTTGTTTTTTTTTCCTCCCTCTAATAGACGAGAAGCTCTCCGTCCGACTCGGTAGTTTTCGGAGTCCGGAGTCGTTGGATGTATATAGGTAATTACATGAACACGCGCACGACGACGCACTATCACATTAGCACGGCACACGGCACTCGCGACGCAGCACACGCACGCAGGTCGACACGATGCGAGGTCCGTGCGAAAAAAACACGACACGTACGTTCTCCTCAGTCGTGTGCTGCTGCCTGCGCCTATATCTGCCGCCGCCGCTGCTGCTGCTGCTGCTGTTGTTGTTGCTTTCCCGTTGATGATATCGATGATGATGATGACGATGACGACGACGACGACGACGACGACGACGACGATGATGATGATACTGGCTGTGCTGTATGCGTTTGCAAACTGCGAAGCGCAGAGCACAGCGGCTGCACAGGGAGTCGCTCGCGGCCTGCGAATCGAGTGTCACATGGACTGCAGTCGGGCGCAGACTTGACTCTCTGTCGCGGCTAGATTTTTTCGCTTACGCCCCGCCCATCACGCTCTACACACGATATATAAGAACGGAGCAGCAGAGTGTACCTATATGCCGCTTATATGTATATGCGAGACGGCGACGAAGGTATTGCGCACATTAAAAGTCTGCAGCGATGTGTGGTAGCTGCTCGGAGCTTGTGTATGTATGTATGTAGTGTACGTGAGTACGAGCGGCCAGCCAGGCAGGCTTTGCGCCGCTGCGTGCTCCGTGTGCGAGTGTATATAGGTATAATACACGCGATATTTTTGCTCGCACCAGCGAGCTTCGCGAAACTAGCAAAGAAGAGCGAGAGAGACGGAGAAACGCCAGCGTGCAATGTTGCCAGATGCCACGTTGCACGCCAAAAGAGAGTGCGATAGAAAGAGAGAGAGAGAGATTGTGCTTCGCTTTTCGCTTGCAGAATCAACAGAGCCGGTGCGAGTGCGAAAAAGAGAGAGAGATACTGCTATATAATATGGCAAGCGGGACAATGACGATTCACGCGGGCAATGTATGTAAGCGTGTATCTCGACGAGCAAGCGAGCGAGAGAAAGAAAGGCTTGGAGCGATGCGAATTCGCGAGAGCGCAAAACTCTTTGCTATATAACAAATACGAATTAGGTAAGATTATGAGATCGTATGCGCTTGTGCATCAGAGAGATAGTACGAGAAAGAGTCGCAGAAAAGTAACGAAGCAGCTGTATTGGGGCATGTATCGAGAGAAGCTCGAATTCGGAGTCGTTTGAACTACACTAATAATAATACTGATTAAATGACAATAAATTTATTTACAGAATTGCACCCCGAAGATCGTCCTCCAATTTCCTCCCACTTTCCTTTGGTATATGTACAATCAAGCGGTAGATCGTTGAAGGAGTTGAACTGCCGATTCCAGACGCAGAGCCAACACCTCGAATCAGCTTTTCACCCGATGCTTGCGCTGCTTGTCCTGCTTGGCGAGTGAGTGTTGTTCTGAGGGGCGGCGTCGCATCCAGTAGCTCGTATCCTGGGGTGTGTGAGCACTTTCGGTCCAGCTGGAGCCGATTCACAATTCGGCTCTGCACTTCGACTTTCCAGCTCGATCGCAAATGAACGACTGAGCGAGCGTGGTCCTCTGCCAGCAGACCTAGGCTTACTTTTCTTGCCGTAGGTAAAAGACATGTGCTTTTTCACATTATAGTGAATAGTCGCGGCGTCACACGTGTTCATGTAGGCAAACGGAGGAGTTGCGCGCGCATATGCGAATCTTGCCTGTACACGCGTTTTGTGGCAGCAGGCAGAAGAAAACGCCGCGGCGAGAATATCGCCCACGAGGCCATCGCCTCGCACGGTGGGGGTAATTTCGTGACTCTCTGTCTCTCTCTCTCTTTTGCTCTCGCAGTCAGGCGCTGCCGTATATCGTCGCCCCAGCGCAGGAAGGTATCTATTTCCAAGCTGTAGCAAGAAGGATACTTACTCGCGCGCAGAGGCAAAAAGGTATCTAACTCGAGCGCAGCGGCAAAAAGGTATCTAATTCGAGCGAGAAGCAAAAAAGTAGCTTATTCAAACGAAGTGGCAAGAAAGTTTTGACGCGCTGAATTTAGGTTGGCAACGCAGACGTAAATGATAAAATTTTGTTTCAACATGCAACATTCAACATTTAATTCAAAGCTATGTAAAGCCGATAACTTCTACTTTCCTTTCATAACATACAAAGTTCTCCATAAGTGGCAAATTGAGTCGAAATCATGGTGAGATTGATTTGTTTGCTCGCATTACAAATGGATGAAAATCATTACACAAGCTCAAATGTTTTTCCTCTTTTTTGCTCTAATACAAAGCACAATTTTATCATTTACGGCTCCGTTGCCAACCTAAATTCAGCGCGTCAAAACTTTCTTGCCACTTCGTTTGAATAAGCTACTTTTTTGCTTCTCGCTCGAATTAGATACCTTTTTGCCGCTGCGCTCGAGTTAGATACCTTTTTGCCTCTGCGCGCGAGTAAGTATCCTTCTTGCTACAGCTTGGAAATAGATACCTTCCTGCGCTGGGGCGACGATATAGCGATGCGCTCGGCTTTCGAGTGCGGGCATGACGCGCTAGTGCACACGTGACAAGCCGAACGCTGAGCACCGCGAGGTCCGCGAGTTGGCAGTTGCGTAGCGCGCCCTCTGCGGCTCCCGTGGCAAACAGTCGGAAAACATGACTCCGGCTCGGAACTCGGGGCGTGGTGGGGTGCACCACTTGATTGCTGCCAGCGTTGTGCGCATGCGGCACTGTGTACACGTTTCTCGCTGTCTAAATCAAGCAGCTCGCTCCGATGACGAGTAAAAACAACGTGACACATAGCAGACTGAAAATCCAAAAAGTCACGTAAGCATCGACGTACACGTTGTTAAATACTCGTATCGTTCGAGCTCAAACACGAGATATCGTGCTTTAGGCCCGCTTGCATCATGCTTGCTCTATAATTTTTGTTCTAGAGAAAGGTCGTAGGCCTATTGGTTGTTACAGCTGGCGCACCCCTCGCAACCGCGTGGCAAGGTCTTCTTGAATCTCTCTTTCTGTCTACACGATTGCGGAACTACCATGCCATGTGCTTCTTGACTGTCTGGCCCATGAGAAAATGACCAATGATGGGCATCAGCTACTCTTCAGATCCTAAGAATTAAAACATATTTCAAATAAAAAAGTTTTTAATCAATAAATAAAGCAATGTTCAATCTCTAAGTATAGCTTTTACATACTCGAGGATTGACGTATCAAACGATCGAATGCAAAATTTAAAATCAACAAATCGAGAACGGTATAAAATATCAACCAGCAGATTATGATCCGAGAAATAGGGTTTTCTACTTTCCTGGAAAATCACATCTCTAAAACATTCGAATTTTCCTAGTATATAACAATCGAAAGTTTATAATTTTTTGTCTGGAATGGTATATTTCCAATGTAGTCAAAGTAAATAAAAAAGCTCCACAAAGCAATAAAAAAAAAATTTCCCCGTGGATTCAGAAACTAGCTACTTTACTCTATGCCTTCTTATTTTCGTTGCCTGTTGACGCAATGCGTACCACGTGCTTAGGCTTCAAAAATTCATACGACATACGTAGCATGTGTTCGAAAGGCGTGCGTGAGTACTCTAAATGTGAAACGATTCGGTTTCGAATTGAGAACGTAAACAGAGCGAATTAGGGGCTCGACTTATACTAGTCTCTACACTGTTATTATTATATCCGGGTAAACTATGCACGCAAGTGGCCCTCGCTACGCTGAACTTTCGTTTTATTTTAGAAATTGAATCTTTTTACATTTTGTATACCACGTGTTCAGACTTCCAAAACTCGTACGATATACTTTTCTATACTCGTATAAAAAAGGCCTGAAACGTGATGTATTTCACAGCGACCCTTCATTGGTCAGTAGACTAAGTAAGATAATAATTTTAGTTTAATTTAGAAGGTCTTTATATTCGGTATCATGATGATGCATATTGCCATGCCTCTGGGAAATATTTTAAACGATCTTTAAAAAAAGCGAGGCCTTTACGATCCGAAATGATAACTGTATCGAACATTATCAATCGAAAGTTACTACGGCATCGTAATAGTTTGAGTGCCGTCGCTCGACTCGCACTTATAATCACCTTTTTTTTCACAATCGATACGGTAAACGCGTACAACGTGCTATCGTAAAACACGCTATACCACATTGACGTACTAGACATATATAGCTGTACACGTTTCTGGTAGGCATTTGACAAATATAGGCGCACATGTGCGCGACGATAAATATAGATGTAAAACTCGGCGATTGCTCGCCGTCGTATAGCCGTCGTACAGTCGTCTGCTACATGCGTAGCGCGACTCGGTGCAGCGCGCCTGGATATAAACTCGACACTAGACTCGGACTAATGAATAAATGCACCTATTGGAGCCTTACTCTTTCGGACTTGAACCGAGTGAAGCTTCGATCTTTCGGAGACCGAATCACGATGCGTATTAATGATCTTGATTTTTACGTTCATCTGTACCGACAGTAATTGTTTCACCCAAGTTAATCGGTCATCAAGAGCTTTTCTTTCCATTGAATTTTATTGCTTACCGATTCTCGTCGTTGTAGTGGCTTTGGGGAACACAGGGCGCATTATAGGAAGGAAAACAAATACAGATTCAATTGATTTCGAGCTTGTCGACTTTCTCTATTTTGCGTCCTCTATACCTGTATATTATTTTTCCTGTTGTGAGACAGCATTATAGGTAAATACGCGACGAAGACTCATCTTTTTTTCTGATCATAGTAGTCATCGTATTTTCTAAACTAACACCTGTACTTGTATACTCCAAGTTTTGGTGGGATTTCGACACACCGATTTTTACGTGTAACGAAGTACGCGCTTCACTTGCGGGGGCGATACCCTTTGAAGCGGGCCAATTTTGAGACAGTCGTTTTTCCAAATACAACGTGGAACTTTCTCCTAAATATATACTAATAACTCGAGTTATCGCGTACCAAGCTATGTGCCAACTCGTCCTTTTGCTGCTCATGCTCGATACCCGAGTAAAAATGAAATGAATAATTTGGGCATCATCCTGGTAGCTTCAAAAGTACCAAAGTAGGTGAAATTGAGCGTGCCGACCACATGGCTGCTACAAAGTCATTGAACCAGCATACGATCGACAATCCCCGGAAAGAATGAAAAACGGATACTGCCTACGCCCAGCTAAATCATGCCACAGAGTTCGCCGTCTGCTCTCGTTGGGAATATAATCTATATATGTGCTGCAGCAGCCAGTACTGCTGTTTACTTTTTGGAAGGTATACCCATATATGCATGCACGATTGTCGCCACGTTACACGCTAGATATGCGCTAGATATGTCGTTCTCCCCCACAAGCTTCGTACGTGAATTACGTGTGTGTACGAGGAGCCATGCGGCACCGATTTTAACGGTGTTTATGTGATATGATATATTTCACGAGTTTGCATTGACGGGCTGTGCCAGCTCTTTGAGCGTTCATTTCATTTTTCAAAAGTCAAGCCTTTTTTTTCATGCGCGAGTTTTGTTCCGTTTTTCCGGACAATACATACATATTTACAATACGTATTAACTGCGACTGGCTTTCTGTACAATCGGTTCATTATAAATTACTTTAAGCTTATCTTAATTGAGCATGTTTCCAGAGTATGCCCTTTTTGAACCGATAGAATATGCTTTGTCTTTTTTAATAAATGTTTTTATTACATCATTTACAACGCGTAGTCTGTGTTATGAATAAGTACTTACCAACACTTGCTACAAAATACAAATACCAAATAACTTTCGGCATTTTGACGAAAAGAACTTTCGTATTCACGCATTCATTATTCAGATAGCACAAAAGATTTCGTCGCACAAGATGAAAATGACGATGAAAATTTCTCAAATTTCTGTACAAGACAATCTCATTGACTTGATTTCCAAGTATATGCTACCACGTGGTTCGAAAACGTCTCTTCCATTGAAGAAAGTATTCGATTACGATGGTAGAACGTTTACATGTGGATTCTTACATGTGGATCTGTCGATTCAGAGCACATGGTATATTAGAAATATCTAGAATAATCTAGTTACTTCGGAATACAATTTACACTGGTAAGCATGACGAAATTATTTTTATTTTGTACTCAGATGAACTTCATTCAATTTCATGTAATTTCCAAAAAAGTAATACAATTTTTAAATATCTATATTTAGACATTGTTACATTAGTTTATTCAAAAATTGATTCAAAAGAATTTTTTCTTCGTCAAAGTATAATGGACTAATAAATTATTGTAATTCAATCGAAATAGTTTCAACAAGTTTACAATTGTTCTTATTATCGTTGAAATAAGATGTATTATTTATCGTTTATAAATTTTTATTAAATAAATCCAAGAAAATTTAAGCGAAGGTACGGAGGTAATAAGATGTAAAGATACAGTAGCTTTTTATATGATTTGATTCAACATTTAATAAATTTTATTCATGCTCAACATTATTTAACAATTTTCAAAAATATCTTCCAAAAGTATATTTCGAATAAATTTTCATAACAGCAATAAACTGTATTATGCGGACATAATTATATAGTTAAATATTTTCAGACTCGTTTAAATCAACTTCGCGTCGAACTTAACGTGAAACGGTAATAACTCTATAGCACAATGTAAATTTATAAAAAAATCATCACATTTCAGTAAAAAGTTGTATACTAGTTTAATGTGATGATGTATTGTACATATTACTCTGATTCGTGCCATTCAAATAATCACATTTTGAACAATTCATAACTTTAGAAGTATGAGTTTACGATTATTGATTTCAATTCGTTTCTTTCAGTATATTATTATATTTTTGGTATAAATAAACGCAAATATAGTCTACTATTTTGTACCTAATTTTCAAATCTCGTTGATTAGTTATATCTACACAATAATTATTAATAGAATATTTTACATGCGTCGAAAAAAAGTCGATTAACATTAATTTAAATTTCGCTACCTGCTTAAATTACTAACGTAAAGAAATTTCAAGTCTGTCTTTGGAGTATTTTCGAATAGAGCTGCTCGGTTTTGTCCTTCTCCTTTTTTTACCCAGTGACCATAGACGCGAAAGGCACAGCCATCAATTACCTAAACATGAAAAATTACACAGTCATTAAGAGTCTAGACGAATTTGTATTAATTGCTCTATAACGAAAATATCTAACAATGGTCTACACTACTAACACAACGACTTCAAACGAGCCTTCAGATATGAGCTGTTAAAATCAAATACGATCGGATTACTTACCTTTCTGAGAACTTTGATTCGATATGGATCCGTGGTAGCCACCTGAATGGAAAGGGGTTCGGGAGTCGTGTGCAATCTTTTAATCCGGATGACTGCCCTGACGACAAGAGCCGCAAGTTGGAACTTCTTCTTGGCATTGAATGATTTCGCCTTTAGTTCCTGTCATATACAAAAAAAAGATTACAGTTTTTTTGGCTCAAAAAATATGGATTTCATCTATATCGTCGTGCACGCACAAAAAAAATTTTAGGCTTTCAAGAACGACACCCTATCTTCTAATCTTACTAAACTGGTATAGAATAGTATCGCCAATGATTTTATATGCGATATCGACAGATTGAAAAGATTATAATGACATTTGATAAAAAAAATGTTCAATTTTTTCAATTTATACAAAGTTAGAATTAATTGAGTTTTTCAATAATTACAATATTTTATAAATGAAACTACGAATAGATTATAAACTCAGATAAAATTAATCGTAATAAGCGTATATATATAGAATTTTAAACATGCAAATTATATTTTCAATTAAACATATACGAAAGTAAGGAAAAATTATAGAGCAGCTTTCAGGTCACAAGTTGCTCATAGATGAGATTAACTTTTAAAAATAACTAAGACCGCACCTATTACAGATTTCGTATGAGAGTTTAGACTGACAAGGTGGATCCAAAATTTAATTATTTTAAATAATCAAAAAAAAGGAAAATCAGGGTTTACATAGCGTTCACTTTGATACTTGAATTCTACGAAATCTTATAATTGTTATAAGTCAACTTTCAAAGCTTTTGAGTTACTTGAGTTACTTAATGAAATCAACGGTTTTGAAATTTTCTTTAAGTTATAAGGAAATTTAAAAACAAATTTTACTCCGAATGCACCTATCTGAACTCTTTACTTAGAGCATTCAAAAGATGTAATCTTATTTTTTTATGATAACACGTTATTCAATAATAGATATTAATTTGTGCAAAACAATAATGTTAGTAGTATATAGAAATAAATGAATAAATTAATCAGAAATATTGGTTAGATCAGTGATAGTTTAGGTAAATTCAAAGCTAATGCAGACATTCAAGAATAATTTGTAATTATGAATTGTATAAAATATCATATTCATAATTATGATTTGTATAAAACCTTTCCAAATTTTATGAAACAATTAAAAGTTATGTGATATTAGTTTCAGAATAATGAAAAACTTGGATAAGGATTGAATAGACATTAGTAGGAATAAAATTTTCGCTATTAGTGAACGTTAATTTATCATTTTTAAATATCGAATGAAGATGTGTTATTCCCCCTTGAAATAAAAAAAAATCCAAGAAAAGTCCATTACCAAAGCTAATTGTGATATCCGACTCAGACGTCTAGAATTAGAGGATAGTGAACGTTTTAGAGGAGCAATATCCTGATCCCATAGCTGTAATAATATTAGATATAAATTTGTATTTGTGTTAGATAATTGATTATAAAAAAATTCAATATTTTATCTTTTTAATTTGCATCACGTGAAAAATGTGTAGTAAAAGAAGACGGAAAAGTGTCAATAATTTAACGAGATAAGTGATAGTACTTTTTTGCGCTCTCTTTGTAGCGTAAAATATGAACTGAAAAGCAAGACAATATAAAAGCAATGCTAAATCATAATAATTCAGTGGCTTATTATGATAAAAAAAGTATTGAAAATAAGCTAAGGAATAAGAAAAATTTTTCACTCTGATTAAAAAACTAACTTTGAAAAACTAAGTTCTAATTATAAATGTTTTCTTCAGTTTCAGTGCAGCAAAATTTTTTTATTTAAATTGAAAAAAAATTCAATGATAATCTTACCACTGTGTGGAAAAATGAATGATCCAATGCTTCTTTTATACTGATTCTTTTTGTTGCATCAACTACTAATAACTTATTAATTAAATCTTTGGGAGCGTCTAAAAATAAAATTGGTTAATAATAATTTAGTTAATTGCATGAAATAGGTAATTACATTTTTCAGCAGACATACATAATATATACCTGTTATATCAGACCATTCTGGTGAAGTAAAAGAGTATTTTCCTTCCATTATATTCCTTAACATAATCATTTGCTTTCTATGCCAAAAAGGAGGACATCCAACAAGTAATGTGTACATAATTACACCACAAGCCCATCTAAAAGTAAAAATTTTATTGCAAAAATTACATCATATTGTAAAATTTGAAAAATACAGTTTTAAATCCTCACATGTCAACTTCAAAACTGTATCCATCAGGTTTTTCAAACATACTACACTTTAAAACTTCAGGTGCCAGATATCCAGGTGTTCCACATAGGTCTAAATAAAAATTTGTAATAAAATAACATTCACTGAAAAATAATATGAAACTTTATAATAATCACTAACCAAATAGTCTTTCTCCTGGCTTCAACATTCTTGCAAAGCCAAAATCAGTTATTTTGACATTAAGATTGTCATCAAGAAGAATATTTTCTGGTTTTAAATCTCTATGAACTATTCCTTGATTATGGATGTGTTGTAAGCCTTCAAAAACTTGCCTCATGATGTATCGAGTCTTCTTTTCAGATAGTGTAACAACAGATGTAAGGTAATCAAAAAGTTCTCCATTTTTGCACAATTCAAATATCAAAAAGATAAAAGTATTTGATTCAAATACATCATGTAGTTCAACTGTTTCAAAAAAGTATTAAATAAGATTTGAGTTGAAGTAATTTATGTTAATTTTAATCTTGCATGAAGTTAAATTACTTATAAAAGGATGACCAGATACCCTACGGAGAATCTGAACTTCTTGCATAGTCGCATCCTTCATGGTATGCGTATCAATACCATCGTGAGGTTCAGAACTTATATCTATAATTTTGGCTGCATATTCTATACCAGTTTCTTTTTCTATACATCTTCTCACAGTAGAAGATATACCTCTGCAAAAAATTGCAGAATTGTAAGAGGATTCAATGAAAATCTTTAAAAAGTAGTTTTATAACAAAATAGAACATTAGTTGAAAAAAAAATACTCAATTGATTCTAATTCTCAGTTAAGATTGTTAAAATGAATCATGCAAACTTGTTTTTCCTTTATGTCAATCAATCAATTTATAGCAATGTGTAACTACAATTTTTAATCTTCTACATTGTGTACATTTGATGGCATTGTCTTTCAAGCAGGAAATATGAAAAATTTAACAAATTTAACTTGTCAGTAATCATAACAATGATAGCTGGACTGATCAACAAGTTATGAAATTCCCTTGACTAAGACTGACAGCAAGGCGTCAAATAAAAATGTATGGCATTATCATGGCAGGACAAACAAAACAAATTACATAAGCATTAAAGGGTACCGATTTTCGATCGCGTCGCATGTGGTTAGAATAAAAATGCATACAAAGTTGGTCTAAACACATACCTTCCGAGAATCTCCTTGGGCTCGTATTTGGCGTAAAAACCTTTGGCAGCATCTTTGTCCGGCAACAGATCGTCTCCATCGTCCTTCGCCATTTCGTCCTTTTTATCAAATTCTATTATGCGAAGAAGCTCTGCACACGTAGAGAACTATTATTGTTTAATCGGTGAAGGTCATCGTCACCTTGGGTATGTGGCGCGCCGGATCGAAAGCAGCGACCAGGGCGTCGCACGACACACTATCATAGGCAGCAAAACTCCTCAGTGTGCTACCAGCGTCGAGCCAAGACGATGACGATCTTCTGCTACAACAGTGCCAACTATCGTCTCTCTATCTTTTTCTTTCTGCAACGCACAATATTCTCTTTTAGACTGCTCATTCACTGCACAATGCACTTAGTTTATGCATAAGTATATATAGGATCTATATGTGTATAACGTCAATATATGCGTTGCATTCAAACTATTACTCGGACTTTGTTTTAAATTTAATATCAAATACTGTCTTGGACATTTAAAATAATTATTTATTAAACCAAATAGATTTATTAATAGATATTATCATATCATCCAATTAAATTTTAAATGACTACATGTGAATAATATTTTGATAAACAAAACAAAACAAACATTCGTGTACTCCTTGCTCGAAGGTTCAAACTACACTAGGATGATGTCCGATTAAAAGCTTCTCTGTTTACTTAATTATCTGGAAACAAATGTCAAATATTCTCGGAAATAAATTGACCGACCTATCTCTTGTTAAGTAGTGTAGCATGTGCCTACATAACTCCACCGACTTGTGTAGTAGGCGTTACTGCGGCCGGCGACGTGAGTAACTGTGGACGCATTCGACACTGTCATAGGAGTCAAGTGACAGTTATTAAAATCCGAGGCTCAAGTCGCAATACGCAGCCTCCCTCTTCTGTGCCTTTCGTATGAATCTGCAATTGCAGCAGGCCCTCCATGCATCGTGAACACATCTAGCAGTACAGCAACTGCACCGCATGCCAGTGCTGCTGTTGCTACAGTTCAATGGTATACATAAGTGTGCACTGCGTCCTCGTGAAAATCGTCATATAAACGCATACGTAATAAAATATATACATAACATTGACATCAATAACATACACACGATATACTCGCGAGCAGGTTAAGTGTTCTATCGCTGCTGCTTGGGAAGTGCAGCGAGTTGTACACACACTCACACAACTTCACATCATCACTAGGCAAATACAAAAATCAGCGATGGAGTTGTCGCGTTTAGTCATAGGCTTTGGACTGAAGAAAAGTCTTCTCGATGCCGGTCGAAGTGTCATAGGAGTGCAGTTGGCTGCCTACGCGAGGTTCAAGGGTTTTGAATCTCGGCAGCGTCGTCATTACGTAAAGTTGCGCGAAATTTGTTCTGTAACCTTGTTTGTTGACGCAGATGTGTTTTGACGTTTATTAAAATTTTCCAATTCTTTTAATGTGTACAGATTGGCAGAGGTGGGCAAATTGGAGCAGCCGAAAGTACAAGGAAAGTATGAGACTGGACAGCTGATTTTACACAAAGTATTTGGATATAGAGGTGTCATACTATTTCCTTGGCTGGCAAGGGTCTATGATAGAGACCTACCAAACAAAAAAGAAGGGTATGTATTATAGAAATGCATTATCTGTGTTTTTGTTCTTCCATTATGCTTTTGGTAATTTAATCATGTTTGTTAATACAGTACTGAAGATGGAAATTTTAATGCAGTTGGAAAGGAAGTCAAAGGAAGAACCCACACTTTTTATCAAGTTTTAATTGATCAGAGAGACTGTCCATTTATTGTAAGAGTGCAGCTAATATTCATGAATATTATATTAGTTTAATTTAGAATAGTAAAATAATTATGATTTTACAGAGAGCCCAAACAGAAGCAGTTACATTTCTTGGAAACCATGAAAGTAGCCGAAGTTTATATGCAATTCCAGGTCTTGATTACGTTGCACATGAAGATATATTACCATATACAACAAATGAAAAACCAGCTTTGCAACATGAACTATTTGATAAATTTTTATCATATCATCCTGACAGAGAGCCCCAATTTTCTGCTCAAGATACGCTAAAAGCATGGCAAAAGAAGAACCATCCTTGGTTAGAATTATCTGATGTTCATAAAGAAACCACAGAAAATATTAGAGTCACAGTAATACCATTTTATATGGGCTGCAGAGAGAGTCAAACAACTTCTGTGTATTGGGTTTGTTGCTATTATTTTAAGTACACAATCTATGAACTAAATTATAAATCAACATTAAACTGAAAATCTTTTATAGTGGCGTTATTGCATTAGACTAGAAAATCTTGGAGACCTTAGTGTGCAATTAAGGGAAAGACATTGGAGAATATTTAGTTTATCTGGAACATTAGAAACAGTAAGAGGTCGTGGCGTTGTTGGTCAAGAACCAGTACTTTCAAAAACTTTACCAGCTTTTCAGTATAGCAGTCATGTGAGTCTGCAAGCTCCCAGTGGACACATGTGGTAAGTGTTTTGTCAATGAAATATTTTTTCATGCTACCCCTGTAGAAGTTAACCTTGTTTTGGCTCTGCTGCCAAAACAAAGAAGTAATGTCTACTGGAGGATTTATGAAATTTATATGCACCTATGAAGCAAAAAAAAGAAGCCTCGGAGTACATGTTTATCAGCCTCTGCTTTGTCTCCGCTAATAATTATACGTGCTTTAAGGCTTTCCAGATTTTTGCTTTCTAGGCTTGTAATCAACTATTATTATTGGTCTAATTTAGATGAAAAAATTAATTAGTAAAATGATTACTTTACAGGGGTACATTTAGAATGGAAAGAGAAGATGGTTATGCCTTTGATTGCAGAATTCCTCCATTTTCTTTAGAGTCAAAAGCTGACGAACCTGCAACTCCTAATGCTAACACATAATAACACATAAATATTACAAAATATTATATTATTCTGAAAGTGAAGTTAAGACCCCCAAATGATTTTGAAATAAAAAAAAAATGTAAATTACATAAATGTAATAAAAACAAGCTCCGTCATCGTAGAAGTAAAGATCCAGAGAACTATATTGTACATAACTTTTAAATTGATAAAGCTATAAAAAAATCGATCATGTTATGTAAATTTTTTATGTTGAATATGTACCAAGTATAATGAACATTTAGCAGTAGTGAGCAAAAATATTTTTTATGATAATGTCACCTTTTGTAAATAATCGTCATTTATTGAAACTTGTTATCTTGTTGACATGAAATGTGAGAAAAGTCAAAGTAGAATGTTGAAGATTTACTAAATAAAATAATTATTAGTCGAAAAAGTAAGTTTTATATCAAAATTGTTTATTGGAAACAGTCATATGAGAAAAATTGACCTGTAAGTTGATTACAATTCATACTGTTACTATATTTCAAGGATTGGTGGATTGAAGTAATTGAAATAAAAACTTCTTTAAATATTATATTTTCAGGAAAAATTATAGCTGGACTCTTAAATCTTCAAATCTTTTTTTATGCAATCTAAAACTCTTCCCTGGTCGACCCTGGGCAAATACTAGAATACTCAACAAAAAAGGCCAACTAGTATTCAACCACCTTCAATAAACTTTAATAATTTCCAGGTAAATGTATCAATTTTTAAGAATGAGAATATGTTCCTTACGCGTTTCAAGACTCTCATTTTCACCTATAATGCTTTCAGTATTTAAAAATAAAATTATAAGCAAGTTTTAAGTTCATGTCATTGATTGTTCAGTAGGGTGGTCGGCAACTAGACAATTCGAATTTTTTAGCTTTAAAACTTTTACTAGAAAAATTACAAGCTTTTTTGGATCTAGTATAAGTACTCATTCGAACGATTACGTTTTTTGCTATCAGAAAATATTTTTAGAAAATAATTTAAACGTTATGCATAGTTTTTATACGTGAACAATGTGAACATTTTTCTTATGTGGTCGAGTACTGGTAGGTTTACACGATACACCGTATACACGAGCAAGGTAAACAGCGATTTTGCCGGCGCATATCTATGTTCATGTAGGTGTATAGTTCGGCTGCTCGACAGTTCGCCGGCTGTTTTAGCATCTGGCTCTCGCACTGTGCTCCGACTTCCACTCTTCTCTCTTTTTGCTACTTTTCGCCAGCTGCGTGTGTGTACGTGTGTGCTCTGCGGCTTTGTCTGCATGTGTGCGCGTATTCAGTATTGGCCAAAGTCAAAGCAGCAGCTAAGCACCACTGCTGCAGTCGCGCTTACACTTTGATTGTGTGCGGACTCTCTCTCTTTCTCTCTCCGTAACTCTCTTCTCTGCGGGCGGCGTCGAACCTCTACACCCGACATTTTGCTGGAATATCAAAAAGCTTATCAACTCATCTCGCAAACAATAAGCAGTGCTCACCACCAGAGAGACAAGAACATCTAAGAAATCATGAGTAGTAAGTAAAAAAGTAGAAAGTTCACAAATTGTCATTAGAATCGAATCGGCGTTGCGAGCAAGCGGCCCAAGATAATCGTCGGGACTTTTTACTTTTAATAATCAATTATCGCAGCTTATCGCTATCGGCGTCTCTCCGGGTCTCGAGTCCTCGCTGCATACAATAGGCGTGTTCGGGTATGTATTTTTTTCGCGACTTCAAGGTTTTCCCAATCTCCACCGACGACGCCGAACGTAGCATATAATGTACGTGCCTTGTATGAGTGTGTGTATGTATACACAAGCGCGAACCTGTGTGCGTATGTATATTCGGTATATTTAACTTTATCCGGTACGAAGGAGAGAGAGAGAAAGCCGAGTGAGCGAGAGAAGCAAAACGTGCACACGAGCGGATCGATAATATTCCGGTTTACCATTTAACTCGGGTTCGTTTCGTGTGCTCGTTTGCTTGTGTGTACACACGTTATTTTGTGCAAGGCATAATGGCCATAAACGCCGGAGCCAGGGGTACAGAGCGCGCACACGGGAGGATGCTCCGAAATCCGGAGCAGCAGCTGCATCGAAAAAAAAGAAAAGAAAAAAAACATCGCGGTCGCGATCTTTACTGCCCTATATGCTCTGTATATATATTATTGTATACGTGCAGTCTGTATTGAAATGGCCCGCAGTAGGTGTGCGTGCGTAGGTATAAACCTACCTGAGACGTGCACACGAGATGTGAACGAAGAAATTCCGCAAGCAAAGCAATGCATACACGCACATACGTACTCTCTCTCTCTTCTTTTGTATGTGTACATAATAATGACTAACATGAATGCGTGTATGTGTGTGCGTTATAAAGAGAATTTTAGGACAAGTCACTAAATTGCTGCTTTCTCTCCAAGACAAGAGTTTTTGGATACTCTTCGTCAATAAACCCGCGTAATATACCCTTTTTCGATATCGTCCATGCGTTCATTTCTCGGCCGTTTTTGTTTATTCTCGATTTTCCACATGTTTATTTTCATGACGACGAGTCCCAACCGCTTGTTTACCTTATTATCTCGGCTGTGTAAACCCGTAATAAAAATCAATGATCGACAGAATATTCTTTAATGCTTTTAATTCGTATTATTAATCTCTTTGTCTGCGTGTTTTAATGACGACGTGACTATTTGCCTTCGTGGAATCAATCTGCCTCGAGTATACGAGGTGCCAACGTCGCATCGGTCGCTCTCGATCATAATACGCCACGTTATTCTGCGATCGATGCCCAAGTTTGACAAAATATTATATGGGCGAGAACGAGGCCTGTGTATGAAGATTATGTTCGGTTTGCATGTATTTTCAGCGCCATGTTCTTTTGTTCCCACAGACTTTTGCAAAATCCAGTGACGTGTAGCTTCTACCATCTTTGCAAAATACGCGATTCACCATCGACCCATATTGCGCCGCTATTTTCCTTCTTTTTTTTTATTGAGAGTCTTTAAATAAAGCGAAACGTTTAACTGTCTTTAACGTCGCGATAATTTTTACAAGTTGCTCGCCGAAATCTTTAAATCGCAAATATTTTTCAGTCAGGACACTGTAAACTTAAGAGAAAAAATTTAAATGTTCTATGTCGGAGCATTGCACTCTCAGTGTTACATTTCGGATATCGTTTTTGGTTTCGATACATTGGGCTTTATTTTCGAAGCGAAGCGAAATTGTATATTCAAAAAATTCTTGGCAAAAGTTTCCTTTGTCGAAACATTGCTGAATTTTCGAGTTGAGTGGTGGCAAAAGTCACGATTTTACTACCGAGTCCTTTCGAAGAACGAGAGAAGAGAGAGAGGGAAAAAATAAAAAAATCGTTGTTTTGACGAGTTTCTTGGTTTACGATCCTTTCTTTGGCCCTCCACGCGGGTTACATACAAGCCGGCAATACACTAACAGCTCTCACATTTCAATTATTGCACGCGCCTCGCGCGTTTGTTTTATAAATAATGTCGCCGCGTTCGGGTCGCGATGGTGATGGTTTCATTTCTCTGAAAAAAATTGAAACGTAATTAGTAAAATGCAGCTCTCGTTTTACATATGTTAGGTGTATAAATATGCGATATGCGCTTGTTCAAATTAAGGTATCCGTTATAGAAAAAAATAAATGAATGAAATGAATCATGCTCTTGCGCGATAAGCCGTTGAACCTGAACAGTTCTTGCGAAACGCCCATCCTTTGCCCAATTCGTTCATTAATTGCATCTTATATGCCACAAATCCATCGCGTCATCGCATGAATTTCAAGATTCACTCCGAATTCAAGACGCTTATGGAAGTTTGTTTGCATGCACACGTTGTAGAGGCTTCATACGTAAGCGGAATTTTCCATGCTGCCGATTGAGCGCGTAGCTTAGTAGACAAGCCGTTGACTTGCAACTTGAAAAGAACTTAATTAAGGATTATGCGTTACACCTCTGCATTTGTATGCGTTATGACTTTGCAGCAAAATACATTAAAAAAAATCTTGAACGAATTATCAACAAAAAATGTAATCTTTGCCTCGTTTCTTTTTCATCATCAACGGAATAGCCGGCGTGCTTACCAAAGAAGTGGTGGCCCAGCTGAGGCGCAAGTTCTACGACGAGCCGAGGAACATCCAGTCGCAGAATGTCTGCTCCCGACTGGACCCGATCGAGGCCTGCATATCGCGCAAGGCTTACGAGGCCTCCAATCACGTGTTCCAGCACAAGATCGAGACCGAGGGCAAGCCCACGACGGACCAGAAGAAGAGCGGACGCTGCTGGCTGTTCGCGGCCCTCAACGTCATGCGCGTGCCCTTCATCAAAGCTCACAATCTCGAGGAATTCGAGTTCAGTCAGTCCTACCTCTTCTTCTGGGACAAGGTAAGCATCGCATTTTTCCATCTCGCCATTTGTTTGACTTGGTTCACATTGTGACTTTGATCGTAGATCGAGCGGAGTAATTACTTTTTGCACAACATCGTGAAAACGGCCAAACGAGGAGACACCCAGGACAGCCGAGTCGTGCATTTCCTCCTGCAGGATCCCATCAACGACGGCGGTCAGTGGGACATGATCATCAATCTCATCAACCGTTACGGCGTCATGCCGAAAAATTGCTATCCCGAGTCCTTCTGCAGTGAGTCCTCTGCCCACCTCAACGTTCTTTTGCGCAGTAAGCTTCGTGAGTACGCTCAAGAGCTCAGGACCATCATTGACAAAAATGCCAGCGACCAAGAGGTTCGTTGACTGACGCCGCGATTTCGCTCTTTAAACTACTCCAAAAATTGATCATTTTCCATTATCTTTGTAGATTCAAGACCGCATAACTCAGCAGATGGCGGTGATTTACAGAATAGTCGGAATTTGTCTTGGTATTCCACCAGAGAGCTTCACTTGGGAGTATTACGACAAGTCCAAGAAGTATAACAGCATCGGTCCGATCAACGGGCCCGATTTTTACGAGAAATATGTTAAGCCTTACTTCAACGTCGATGATAAAGTTTGCTTGGTCAATGACACGCGTCCATCCAACAAATTTGATGAAATTTATACCGTCGATTGCCTCGGAAACATGGTCGGTGGAAAACCAACCATTTACAACAATCAGCCAGCTCAGTTGTTGATGGAATTTTGCGCGGAGAGTATCAAGAACAATGAACCTGTCTGGTTTGGTTGCGAAGTTTCCAAGAGGTTTGTTTCTAAACTCGGCATCCAAGATCTCAAAGCTCACGATTATGTATCCATGTTTGGAACGGATATTCAAATTGTTCTTTCGAAGGCTGATAGATTACTCTATGGTGAATCAGCTATGACTCACGCCATGGTGTTCACTGGAGTTTCTTACGATGTATGTTTGATTTAACTTTTTACTGTATGCTCAAATTTAATAGAATCATTTATAGATAATCTAATGTTGCGTCTCACTTTTCAGAAGGATGGTAAGATTTCCAAGTTCCGAGTTGAGAACTCTTGGGGAGAAGATCGTGGTGAAAAGGGATATCTTGTTCTTACTAGTGATTGGTTCCTTGAATTTGTATTTGAGGCTGTTATTGACAAGAAGTACGTGCCGAAAAATGTTCTTGAAGTTTTTGAAAAGAAGCCAATTGAATTGCCTGCATGGGACCCAATGGGCACACTTGCTCAGTGATAAATTTATAAACTTTTTTTATACAAATCAAGTTTTTATAAATGAAACAAAATGATTCATCTTTCAAACTCAGTCTAGAGTTCATATTACTGTAAGATTGCAACATTTTTCATAGATTTTGTATGCCATTGCTGGTTTTGTCCAATACTTAATGTTTTTAAAATGATTGAATATAATCTATTATTTAAAATAAAATTTTAATAATTATTTGGTGATATCATTTACACCATAGAAATGTTAATGAACAAAAGTGAATTATTATTTGTGGTATTAAAATGTGTTATATTGCTAACATTTATGGTGCATTTTGAACATTTTAAATAAGTTTCTTATCTTAAATGTATCATTAAATCTGTATAAGACATTGAAAATCATAAAAAAATAAAAAATTTTGATTTAGAAAAATATACTGTTTTATTTCTCATTTGTACAAACTACCTGATGCTTTTTTTCCTCTGAAGATAACAATATTTTAATTTTGCCCAGACTCCCTGGCACATTTTCTGTAACCTGACATCTTTCGACTCAAGAGCAAACTTATATATTTTTTGGATCATTTGTTTTGATCGTTTGTAATAGCCTTGTTGTATTAAACTTAGAGCTGCATAAAGGTTGCATCTAGCCACTAATTGTGGATCTCCTAATTGTAAGGACAATTTAAATTGAGCCAATGAAATCTTTCCTGCTACTTTAGCCTGCATTAAATTATATATAAAAAGTTAATTTTTAGAAATATAATCTTTCCTCTTAAACAAATAACTCACGCAATGATTAAATTCATCCCCTAAAGCTGAAAATGCTCCTCCCAAGGTTGAAAGCCAAGACATGGCAACATCTAAATCATGCTTTTGTATGACTAAACGAGTCATTCTTTTATTCCTGTTAAATTTGATTGATTATTAACTTGTAATATGAATACCTTTTAGAAAGTTTGAATGTAATTGTTGCAATTGTGCACATACCATTCAAAATCTAGGAACTGATGCTTTGGAGTTTTGAGCCTGATGAAAATTATAGTTGGGATGTCATTTAATAAATATTCTTTGGATGCAACAAATCTTTCAAGTCTATGTAAAGCTGCTTTTCTGTATGTGGTGGATTGTATTATAGTGTATAAATATACAGATACCAAATAAGCATTTAAACCCCTGCGGCGTAATAATAACGAATGATACTTAGTAAATCTATCATGTTCATTATTACTTTGCTCTTTATCTTCTGTTAATTGATTTTGGCTATATTCTTTAAAATTATAAACGTGCTTCACAGAGACGAAATAATCATCATACACTGACTTTCTTTTACAAATCAACACTCGCACATTAAAATTCATGTTTATTCATATCACCTGTTCTTAACCTTCAGAAAGAAATGACGAAAAATGTTTTGTACTTCAAAAATAATAATTCAGCTGGAAATTGTCCAGCAAATACCGAAAAATATGAACTAAATCAACATTGTTATGATTGTCAATTAAAATAAACAAAAAATAAATTAATAATTTAAATTTATCAAATCAATGAGTATGAAGTAACATTGGTCTGCAGTCGACGCGGGTGTGAATGCCCAAATCCATTTAAATTATTTCAGTCAACATAACGGTTAGTGACCAGTAATAAATTTGTCAATAACTTTAATAAATTTTAAATTATCAAAATTTTTGGTGGTTTTGGTAGTTTTGTAGTTTTGGTAGGGTTTCAACGAAGTCATAAAAAACAATAGGGAAGTTATAATAAATACATTCGGATACAGTTATTTTATCAGAAATACTTTTATTTTTGTTGCAAAAAAATAACATTTGATTTAATTTACAGTCTACTTGTGCGTACAACTGTTATGTCGGCCTTTAACCAGCGGCTCGCAAGTAGCATTTCCCGCTTTGTAGCGGGAGGGTCAGGCCACTGGTATAAAAGATAAATAAAGTAATAGTTTACATGATACGTTTCGCATTATTTCCTTGATGAAATGGCCAGTTTACATTTGACATAACATAATGATTTGCACAAGTAATATGATAATTCACTTGATAATATGAAAACAAAATAAAACTTAAACTTATATTATAAAAAAATTACACTTTAAACATTTTTTAATAATAACACTTATAACAACATACAGAATGAAATTTGTAATCTTACGATCTATTTAGTAGTATTTAATTAGTAAAATTTTAAATTTGAATAAATTCAGTTGAAATGTATGTTTAACAAATTTCTTCTATCGTGGAAAATGCTAAATCGAGTGAATTCATGGATTTACTCATCTATAATTTACAAGTCAGAGAAAAGAAGTGGATAAAAATTGTTTAGCTAATCATTATTGTTATAAGATAAACAAAATTTTAACTTTTCTGGAGTCAAAGCTGAAAAAAAATTTCCTTATAGTCGAAAAAGGCTATTTACATTTTGGAAATTTATTATAAAAAAAAAAAACGGAAAGACCTACGACGAAGTCCATAAATTGAATTAGGATGAATCAATTGGAAACTGATATCAAGAAAATAAAGCGAAACGTATTATGTAAATCATTACTTTTTGATCAACACTGATATATAATGAACAATTAGGAATACGTAAAAACCTCTTACAGGTTGGTCGAAACGTATCGTGTGAATCGTTACTTACAGTGAAATAACAATAAAAGAATAGTGGAATACGTAAAAACCTCTTACAGGTTGGTCGAAACGTATCATGTGAATCGTTACTTACAGTTAAATAACAATAAGAGAATAGTGGAATACGTAAAAACCTCTTACAGGTTGGTCGAAACGTATCATGTGAATCGTTACTTACAGTGAAATAACAATAAGAGAATAGTGGAATACGTAAAAACCTCTTACAGGTTGGTCGAAACGTATCATGTGAATCGTTACTTACAGTGAAATAACAATAAGAGAATAGTGGAATACGTAAAAACCTCTTACAGGTTGGTCGAAACGTATCATGTGAATCGTTACTTACAGTGAAATAACAATAAAAGAATAGTGGAATACGTAAAAACCTCTTACAGGTTGGTCGAAACGTATCATGTGAATCGTTACTTACAGTGAAATAACAATAAAAGAATAGTGGAATACGTAAAAACCTCTTACAGGTTGGTCGAAACGTATCATGTGAATCGTTACTTACAGTGAAATAACAATAAAAGAATAGTGGAATACGTAAAAACCTCTTACAGGTTGGTCGAAACGTATCATGTGAATCGTTACTTACAGTGAAATAACAATAAAAGAATAGTGGAATACGTAAAAACCTCTTACAGGTTGGTCGAAACGTATCATGTGAATCGTTACTTACAGTGAAATAACAATAAAAGAATAGTGGAATACGTAAAAACCTCTTACAGGTTGGTCGAAACGTATCATGTGAATCGTTACTTACAGTGAAATAACAATAAAAGAATAGTGAAATACGTAAAAACCTCTTACAGGTTGGTCGAAACGTATTATGTGAATCGTTACTTACAGTGAAATAACAATAAGAGAATAGTGGAATACGTAAAAACCTCTTACAGGTTGGTCGAAACGTATCATGTGAATCGTTACTTACAGTGAAATAACAATATGAGAATAGTGGAATATGTAAAAACCTCTTACAGGTTGGTCGAAACCTATTAAGTTAATCATTATTTACAGCAGCTTGGAAAATTAATTAATATCGAAAAACGTTAAAACCTCTTACAGGTTGGTCGAAACGTATGATGTTAATCATCGTTTACAGCGGATTGGAAAATTAATATCGTAAAACGTATAAACCTCTTTCAGATTCGTTGAAACGTACGCTGTAAGTCATGATTGAAATCAAAACTTCGGCAAATTCTCACGAACGTTGCAATAAATGGCAATCAATTGATGGAAAAATCGTTGGAAGCCATCAATCCGAAATCGCTGATCACATCAGATATTCTCCCCGGCTATTGGATCTTGAGCAGCATTTACATAAATGATCAATTTCACACTTCAACTTGATGAAGAATAGTTATTCACCTAAAAATAAAATGCAATAATGTAGCGCATATAATTGATAAACGAATAATACGTTTGACGTCTTTGAAAGAAGAAAGCGTTATTTATAAAAACGCATGTTTTAATATATTTATAAATAATTGAATAATTAAATCACTCTAAATTTCTTATTACTATTTCAATCGAAGCTGTGAATAAATTGGTCAACGAAGCATGAGCAAAAATAATAATTTTTGTTTTGACATACGAGATGTGTTGGCTTCGCGTGGTACTTTTATCTGTTATGAGTATTCACGGTCCGAGTCCAGAGTAACTAAAATAATATTTATTGTGTTGTGTACGTGAATACAGTATTTGTAACAGGCAATCTAGTGTCCTATTGTTTATTTAATTAAGATACTTTGAAGTTATGTACTTGAAAGATACTTTTATTTTAAAGCAAAAATTAAAGAAAATTTTTTTAGGATTATAACCTAAAATCAGATCTATGGGCTATGATATATTGTATGGTACTATTATGCCAATACTAAAATTACTGAATGCGTGATTTGGTATGATAAATTATTCAATCAAATTTCATTTTTAGTCAAGTTTAAATAAATGTATCTCACCTGAAGTTTTAAGAAAAAAGATCCGGAGATTATCGACGATGCTTGCCACAGCACGCTCTGACGTCCATCTCGAAAAATTTGAAGCCCATCTTCAGCATGAAAAAGTGAATGATCCATGTGTACAAGTTATTTTTCTCACAAAATTTATGGTAGTGTCGTAAAACTTTCAATGCACTCAAACGAAAAAAGAATCAAGATCGATTCATCTTTGCCTCCCATGTGATTTTACCCGCGTTTTTCACACGGTGTGTAATTCACATGTAAGGTAACACGATGATGTTAGCAGCTCGACAGCTGAGTATGGAATGAGAGTTTCATTACGACCGCAACGCATGAATTTAAAATTTTAAAGTGCCCGAAATTAAACGAAGGTAATGTAGCTAAAGAAGAAATATGCTTAACCAGCTGGTTCACAGACCGTCAATCTGTGAATTGTGCTGTCATTAGTTAGTAGACAAGGTTCATTTTTGAATGTAAGATGCTTCGATGCGCGGGAAAATGTTTTCTTACCATCTTAATCAATGAATACAAATTGCAAGGTTTTTTGTTAAAAATTACTTGAATAATTGTTGATACCTACACCCGTTGACAATTACTCTTGTATTGTTACAGAATTTTTGGAGATATTTTTGAATTATTTAGCAATCTCGAAAAAACAAATTTCCTCAAATTATTCTAAAAAAATTCTTAAAAATTTTGAGAATGCACTCTGATTAATTTTAAGATTTCGCCGCTCCCCCCTTAAAACTTGTTTTATTCGTCTCAAGTAAACCTCTTACAGGTAAACCTTTTACAATGACCAAAAATGTATTGTGTTTTTATATTAAATTTAATAAATGCTCTGACACCACTGAATATTGAAAATGTTCAAATAAATGATTGGTACCTGTATAAGATAACACTCCATCAATAAAATAATTTTTTCAGGGGAAGGTTTAATATTTCAGAATAAAGGTTTTAAAAAGAACTCTATTTCCATACAATTCACTGAGCAGGATTTACCGACAACCGGATGAACCGTCGAACTTCATTCCAAATTATGAAGCAAACGTTTTAAACTCTAGAGAATATTCTCGAGCATCAAAGTACAGTCATCAGAGCATATTATAGCTTCAAGATCGAAGTTTTTAAAGCAGAGCAGCTTCTTATTTAGAGCGTTTGTGCTTAGTATAGTTCTCAAAAATTTTAAAACAGCAAAGCCAATCGTACGTCGAGATACTCGTAACTCGGTACACACCTCCTACTTCGACGCGTGTCATTGGAGCATTATGCGAGCCTTTTCTCGGTTCGAATTTAGTCATCTTTTTGTCTGAGACGATTTGAATACGTACGTTCATTTCGTGCCACAATTATGTGTGTTACGTAAGCCACGATGTTACGTATTGACCACTAGCTCACGTGAAACTTTTACTTGTAAAATTCATCGTATAAAAGTCACTGACGTACTGTAAGTGAGTGACGATGTTTGCTATAAATTTATGATGTGTTCGTTTTATTAAATTTCATTGATTTGACACTTCAAGCTTGAAACTTTGATTCATGCATCATCGAGAAATTATCGTCAAAAGTTTAAATTAATTTCAGTCTTTACAAGCGATTTTTAAATCAGACTAGAAATGAAATTTTTTTTTTGTTTTTTCCGAGGTTTCCACGTAAATATATCTTGAACGTTGTGTGAATGGTTCTATTTCCTAAACTTTCACTTAGTCTTTCTGGTGCATTCAAGTAAAAATTTCAGAAAACGCTCTTGAAAATTCTTCTAAAACTACAGAAATATTCTTTTCCTCGTGGGCTCACGGGAGATTTCGAGCATTAGATGACTTTAGTATATCATGAGGCAGATGCAGTATTCTTATTGAGAATGTGTAGTTTATAATTCTTTCGGACGTCCAGAAATTTCTCGTAATTAAAACGTAGCGCAATCATAATGTCAAATTTCTACTGCACTGTGCACCCGTGATTTTACTGCATTGTCGAGTAGAAGAGAAAGAGATATGCTGCAAGATGGAGCGCCGGAAAAACGCGGCATTAGTGGACTGCTATCTGAGAATATCGCACTTGTATCGTGCTAGGCTGAGGGACTTACACAAATCCGCTAAGGATATTGGTTTTGTTCGTAGAGGGTCAAAATGCGTACCTCCAACTACCTCCAACGATTACGAATACTTCCTTGGTCACTCCCTAAACTTGGATTGCTCGTCGAATCAATGCCTCGCGTGACAAAAATATTTTAAGGTCATTTACTTTTGAAAAAATTAACAGAAAAGCTGTAAATGTAAAAATAAAAAAATTCTTCAAGGTATATCAATGAGTTGAAACGTTTAATAGACATGATTGGTTCACAGCAAAATTAGTAAACGTTTTGGCTTTTGATCGGGCATACAAGCAGTACGAGGCATAGCGCTAATTACGCGCAATATGACGATAAAGGCGCCCATCACATAATATACCGCATGTTCAGACTTGCACGCTCTGCGCATTATATATCCTGAATTCTTTCCATGAGAGACGTTATATACTATATAGTTATAGGCAGTCGGTCGCTGCCACCGCACTCATCTCCTCCCCTCACTTGGAGCTGTTGGCGCACCAACTTAGGAACTTACGCAGACAGTCGCGACGTTACACTTTATAATATCATGGATGGATACATGTGTTGGATGTACATCGACACGCAGCGCGCAGGGCACACGGACAGTCGACGGACTGCTGGTGTTCTCACATCTATACAGCTAATACAATCGCTCACACCGATCGCGCACGCGGCAGCGAGTCGCTTATAGGAGGAAGTCCCAGTGAGTCCATGTGCATGCGACGCAGCTGAGCCTGTATTGGTGGAGAGTGTCTAGTGCGCGCGCACGACTCTGTGCGCGGCTGCACACGCCAAAAAGCGACCGATGCGTCTGTATTATAAGGTACACACAACTTGGATTTTCTGTTGGTATAAGTATGCACGACTCTGCCCTCTATACATATATGTAGCGTCTGGCTGCTGCTGCGGCTACTATACTGCTCTGTGTTTAATATTACATGCTAAGCTTATGTTATATGTATAGCAGACGTACACATAGAGGTGTGCGCGTGTAAGTGTGAGTGTGTGGAGCGGCGCGCGGAACGATTCCGACCAGCGTCGAGACTCGGGAGCGCAGACTAAAAAGCCTCGAGCCTTCAGAGCTCAGTAGTGTGCGTGAAGAACTGCTGTGCGCTTCGTCGCTCTCGATTCTGGCTCTCGCCTGCATTCGGTAACTCGAATTCTCGTTCGATTTATAACGCTTAACATCGCCAATACATATCTATATAAACCTTATAATATATATTGATAAAGTTTCTTTGGTGGCATCGTCGTTCGTCGTCGTCGTCGTCGTCGTTGTTTCGCCTGCACTTTAAATACGGGCAGAGCAGTATCGAGCGCGGCGAGTAGCTGCCTGGCATCTAGTACATCGAAAGCTGCCGCTGTGTGTGAACTTTCACAAATTTACAGTCTCTCGGAGAGTCAGATCGGAGCAGCAGCGCTTCTTCTTCCCAGCTCGCTCAGCGGCGGCCCTTCGTTCGCATCCCAGCGTATACCTGCACACGGAGTACACACCGTCCGGGAGCAAGCATCGTCGTAGACGTGCCAAAGGGCTCCGCAGCAGCAGTCGTCGTCGCAGTAGTTTCGCGAATTACACGCGCATAGACCAGAAGAGCTCGCGTCGGCGGCCCAACATCGAGCAGACAACGCGCTTCACTCGTTGCAAAGCTTCATCGTCCCCGTTCTATGGCGTTCTTGAGAAGGCTCCATCGATGCCTGTCCGCGAAGCAGCTCCAGCAGGCGGTGGTGCGCGAGCGTACGAGCACCGCCGCGGCCACGGCCACCACCTCGGCCCCGGTGCAGGCTGAGATCCAGAGCAATGCCGCGGCCGGTGGCGCCGACCGCAGCGGCCAGGTCGACCTGCTCGATCTCAAATTCAACGACCCGGTGGCGTCCTTCAAGAGCAAGACCATGACCGAGCTCGTCAGGGCTTACGTCGTCTACCAGCTGTGCAGCTTCGAGCTCATCGTCGAGAACAACGCCAAGGTACGCCTGTCCTACCTACTTCATTTTACATTCATAAAAGTTCGTTGAGTAAATCGGAGCGGCTGCCATGGGCCTACATAGCGAGCAATAGTACGATCCCGCGCTGTCGGCGGCAGTCGCTGGCTTGTGTAGTGTCGCTTGCGTGCGCGATCTTGCATCCTACGCCTGTATATCTCCACTATACCCATAGCGCGCACAGCGTCGAATATTCGTGCCGTGCCCCCGCCCCCCAGTTTTCTCTCTCGCTGCGCACGAGGGCTGTTCTCTCTCTCTCTCTCTCTCTCTCTCTCTTTCTCTCTCGCTGTCATGCTTCAACCCATGGTCTATATATACACTCGCGCCTATATGGACGTGTGTGCGCGTGTACGAGTGTGCGGCTACGCGTATGTAGGTCGTCGTTCCATCGAGCATGCACACCTCCGCGCGCACAATACACACCGAATCACGAAACAACGGACGCGACTTTTTTCGGAGCACATGCCCGTTTCCATGCGTTTGCTCGCTCCGCTGCTACATTTTTATTTACATACCTCGCTTAATTTGCATAAATTCCAATTCACATGTAAATTACCTCTCAAAAACTGATTTTTCAACTGAATCCTCTAGAATAATTGAGACGAAGCAGTTTACATGTAGCTTTGAAGTGAACATTTTTTTCGTCGCACTCTCGAACTTTGATGCTTGCACTTATAAATGCAATAGTAAACGGTACTATTTACGTTTATACAAAGTGAATGCATCATTGACACATCATGAAGTTGTCCCTCGTGTACCCGAAATCTCACTCATTATTGCATCTGCTCTATTGTACTTTCGATCTTATGGCCAGTTGCTCCAAGTTTTTTTTGTCCATTTCAAATCAGAAGGTGGAGCTATAAAGTAGGCATGTAGCGCTCTTCACTTTCGACTTCGATTTACGAGTTTTTCGAGCCCGTAATACTTTGCAGATATATGCAAATAGTCCGATAATCGAAATGATTGGAACTGTTGTAATGATGACCGTGAAACTGAGTCAAGCACGTGCTGCGATCGAAGAAATTCAAGTCAACAGATCGTTGAACTTTTACGCACATATGCTCCGTTTTCTGTGAACATCGTGTTTCGTTTCCTGGCTCACGCCGCTCGTAACGAATCGAAGATTCGATGGCTAATGCACGTTTTCATATACGAAATGAAAAAGAGAATGTTTACTTCACGGCTGGCGTGCTCGGACGTGCCAGCCGCATTCGTGCGTGTGAAAACGTGTGTGTACGTCGTCGTTTGCCCGCGCAATGTGCCGCAGACAAGCAATAAGCCTGTACAGTGTACAATACACAAATGGCAATGACGTTGAATTTTCGTCTGACGTACTTATACGTACGCTTACAGCCAACTTTCGACACGAGCGGAATGTTAAAAATAATATCCGAAAAACGATGAAAATAAACTCAAAAATAACCTTGCTCGGTGTTACCGAGAGTTTTATAACAAAATATCTCGACTTGCCAAAAGCTCGCCGGTTTTCCATTATTTTTATCCCCCAGTGGCGTTGCATGAGCGATTGTATCGCGAGTCGGAGTCGCGGTAAAAGTCAATCGGTGCAACCGGGTAAACTTCCAATAATTTGACAGCACCGCCGATAAACGAAAAGTCATATGTCATCGATCACATTAATCCTTGCGAGTCTTGTTGTATATAATGCACCGATTGACCAATAGCATTTGTATAATACAACAGTACAGTTACAATAATGCATGCTAACGACGGAAAAATTTTCGACCACAACTGCCGAGCCAACTTGCATCATCGAGCGCAAACGAGCTCATTTATTATAACTGAGCAAAAAACGGTTGGATCGTCAACCTTTGTACTTGGGACAAAAAAGTAGCTTATCGAGTCTCGCGGATCGTGGAAAAAGCATCGGATGAGATAGATACAGAGAGAGAGAGAGTTAGCTCGTGTTCAAAGAGATGAGAAAGACTTCGGCTCGACCTCTGGCTCAGATGTCTACCAGAGACAACAATAACGAAATGAAAAAAAAGATTGGCCACTTATTTCTCGACTAAGCACAAAAACTTGATTATGCCGAGAAACGAACGATACGATTAAATAGGTTGCATTATATTGCATATGTAAATATTGCAGAAAATGCACCAATCAGCTGGCTTAGAACAGTTGCTATATTTTTGAAATGAATTTGAAATATTCTTCGTACAAAAAATACTTTTCAGTACATCTGCATGTCAAGTAGGTTTACTTTTTTTCTTTGACTTTACCTCAATGACTATAGTATATTATGATAATAATTGACAATCGTTAACGTATAATCGTTAATGCGGGCTTATTAGCTAGACGCTTGTTTATACTTAGTCATGGAGTTTTACCCACTTTGTATTTTCTGCAACTATCTATTAATCTATTCAAGTAACTTTATTCGAGTTGCCTGCACGCATCGTTCAGAAGATAATGATTATGGTGTATATTTTGAGCTTGGATAATCTTCCAGTTGAGCTTTTTCTGAAAGGTTTTTGTTTGATCGCACTTGCGATTGATTTTACACTCAACAAGCGACATTTCAAAGAGCCAGCAAAAGATTCTAGAACAGCCTCAGCCTTGGGTGTGAGATGCTTTCAGAAATTCTATATTCACGCTCCTAATGTGCAGACGCCAGCGAAAAAAGACAAGATGACCCAGCTGCTGCAGCCTACGTATGCACGTTATATTTTTACAACGAGCATCGCGGGCGGTTGCCACGCAAGTTTTTCGTCAATTCGTCGCCATCGTCGTACGTCTCGACGATTTCTTTGATAGAATGATTGAACTTTATGTACGCTGTACTTTGACGGTTTCCAGCGCGTAAAAATGAAGTTGGACGTTGAACTCGACGGCCAGGAATGTAAATATCGATTAACAGCTGCTCGAGCGGTAATAAAATAGCTCGTTTGCGGTGTGCAGCCGCGCCAGGTGATTCGATCGATGATTGGCCAAATCGATGAATTGTTTTTCGCTTGCCGCGAAAACTAGACTGTTACGAATTATTTTATATCACGCGAGGTGCACGCTTCATTCTCAGCAAGGATTGATATACTTTTCAAGGTTTACGCATTTAATAATAATGCTGAACCTACCATCAACTCGAGTAATAAGAGGTTGCACTGCTGTCGAGGTCGCGTTAACTTATCGATCGAATCGCGTTGACTCTGAACAATTTTCTTGAGCTCGTTCAATAAAATACAAAGTTGCACTTGTTTCGTCAATTTCAAAGATAATTCGCGGGTAGAAAATTTACTGACGGAAGCAAGCCAATCAACACATAATATTTGTCGCGTTAAAAATAGATTTTTATTTTTATATCCAAACAAAACAGTGTATAAGTATTATAATGACGAGTATTAAATCATCGCTATTATTTTGGCAACTCTTTCATTCATACTTCTGACGTTTAAATTCTGTATTTTGCTCGCCATTTGCGGCTTGGAAAAATACAATCGTAAGTGTCGATTGCCGTCGACGCGACGGTCAATCTTGGCACCCCACCGTTCATCTTAGGATCTTTCTTAACGCCCACACTGGCTCGACTTTACCCTCGAACGTATTTCGATCTGGAGCATTGAAGAACAATAGGACTCCCAGTGGGTCGTTGACACCGCAGAGCAACCTTAAAGTTGTTTCTTGATTGTTTCCTGCGTCTTCTTCCGTATTGATTGATGTGCTCACTGATTTTTATCACTTCTTTGGTTCATCTTGATATTGTTAGCCCAAGAACAACGTTCAATCCTGATCAAAAAAACAAAGAAACAAATGTTTTGTACATTATATTGTTGTAGACTGTTGATTGCTGAACAAAGATTTAGGAATACTTACTTGAAATCTCAATCAACTTAGGTCACCCAATTTTTTCTGGTGATGTCAAAATTTAATGGGTGTAACTAATCTCCCTTTTTTGTTACTTTTACTCGACTCATGACTGATCTTCGGAAATTTTACTGTCGACTCTTTTGCAATAAATAATCACTTGGGGTGTCTCGCAATAGTATTCGATTACGCTCGCTTCTGCAATATTCGTCACATGCAACAAATCAAACCAATCGAAAAGGAAAATTATGAATAGACTTGCCTGATAATTCTTGGAAAGAAGCGTGCACGAGCGAGATTATTTTAGATTATTTTACTTTACCTGACATTTGAACAGTCATTCGTGCAAGCAGTTCTTGTTAAAAAAAGATAGCATTATATTTTCAAACTCTCAATTATAAATTATCCACGAGCATACGTAGAAAAGTCCCTAGGATGGCTTTAAATCATCAAGAGTAAACATACGGGAATAGAACTATGGTGCACTGTACTACAACGTAATTTTTATTACTCGCCTTTCTGGTTAACGATCGATCGACTTGATTTACAAGCTCGCACGTTCATGAACTGTGTTTGCGTTTCACTTTATCAGTCACGGTCAGTGTCCTCGAAGAAAAAAAATTAGCCGCTTTGCAGGAATTCCTGCTGCTTGGAAAAAAGTGTCAACGTAATTTTTCCTGCGCTCCTTCTTGCCTAAATTACCGATTACTTTCTTCGTGCTATCTACTGTATACAAGACGACGATTCTTTAATCGTTTGTAGATGCTAATCTATAATAAGATTTCAAGTAGCACGTCTCGTCGTGAGTTTATCTTTTGCTTTATCGACGCTAAAGATAGAAGCTCGCGCTTATGTGTGTGCGATGTGTGTAAATTTACTCAGAGCAAACATTCTCCGAGACTCCTCAAATTAGTCGTTAAATAAAGAGTTGCGGTGGTCGATTTTGTACATATGCATTTTTGTCGTAGGCATTTTCCTCGTAGGACTCGATTGCAGTCGTCACGTTGACGGCTTAACGTTATTTAGATTATTTTCTTCGATTCGATCGAGCGCGCGAGAAATCAATCACGGACAATGATTGTGCTCTTTAATTAATAAGCATTTCCAACAGTTTACATGTCGCAATTAGCCATTATCGCGCGCGACTTTCACGATACGGCATACAAAGCCCAGACGAGATTGCAAATCCGCGATTGTAATGCATTGCACGTCTGGGAATTTATATGCACTCGTTTCATAATGCGTCGGTGTCTAGCCGCGATACCGGCGCAAATGTGGAAAAAATCTGCCGCGAAAAAGCGCAGATTATTCATCGTCGCGTGTCATGCGTCTGGATCGGCGCAAAGCGAGTCACGTGAGTAAACATTATCGTTGCGCTAACTGTGCGGCCCGAGCGCGGCTGCAGCATGCCTCGTGTATACGTATCTGTATACGGCTGCCCTGAAAATAAGAACGAGTGTTTAGCGTCGTCTTCTTAAACGATTTCAAAAGTCGACGCGTCGATGACATGCGTTACAAACGATCCTCTCTTTCCGTTCGCGGCACAATTAGGAATGACCGTCGAAATATTAGCCCGCCCGATCGGTGCACAGATGCGAATCGAATTAATAATTGGATCGATTATAAATACTCGGTCGGCGCCGGCGGTCAGACATTTTTTCCGCTGCATCGGGTTGCGCGCGCGGCGCCAACTCCCAAAGCTTTCGCTATTTCCTCCGAGAACTGGGCAATATTAGAGGAGTGAATCGCCGACGAGGTCCGTAACCGGAGCGTTTATATTTATATCGTCGCGTCATCGTCAGGGGCAACGCTGTGTGCGGCTTCGTTGTCGTGTGCAAGTCGAGCTTCTCGCACGAGCTTTCCAACGACTACTCTGCATCATTTAGTATAATATTTATATAAGAAAAAGTTCTGAGCTTTTGCTACTAGGCCATGCGTTGTTGGCTGCGACCAAACTTACGGATTGTATTGAATTTCATCACAATCCATCGCTTAAAACATTATTTATTGATGAAAAAAAGTTCATGCACCCTCGTGTGCCAAGGTTATTCGTTTTGTAAGCACGCGCTTGTTTTTTTTTTTCTAAAAAACTTTTGCTAGATATTTATTTTTACTCTTTTCTAAAAAAAAAAGAGAAAACGACACAATGTCACAGGTGTACAGATGAGTTTGATACATTTATTAATAGCTTTAGAGCGATGACTCTCGCGTAAACTGCACTTGTATAATAGGTATGATTAAAAGCCGTTAAAAGTAATTAAAACTGCTCTTGAGCCAACAATAGTTTTTAACATATATGCTGCAAAAGATATAATAGTAATTTTCACTAATTTTTCACTATTTTTTGTTGTAGTTGATGAAATTAATGCAAAATGTCATGGGAGAAAGGTTGTTTGCTTTCGTCATGAAAAACACCTTTTACGGACATTTCGTAGCTGGTGAAGATGAAGTCAAGATAGCCCCGGTATTGGATAGGCTGCGTCAGTTTGGCGTTAAACCAATCCTCGATTACTCTGTCGAAGAGGATCTTTCACAGGAAGAGGCTGAACGTCGTGAAGTCAAGTGAGTAACTTTTAGGATTATTGTTATTTATTCTATCGATTTAACTCGTATGATAATTGACTTGACTTTTTGCAGAGCCTCCGTGTCCGAAGCTGGTGATGAGAAAGGTTCAGGAACATTGAAAAAATACCATGTTGACAAATCATTTGCCGACAGACGTTACAAAGTATCCTCAGCCAGGACATATTTTTACCTCAATGAAGCTTCGTGTGAAAGAAATATGGATATTTTCATAAGATGCCTTGAAGCTGTAGCAAGTAAGAGTCTTGAAACTTGAATAATTATCCAATTTAAAATCAAATCATGATATTTATGTATTAATTGCAATTTTAGACAAATCCTACGGCACAGGTTTCACAGCTGTCAAACTGACAGCTTTAGGAAGACCACAGCTTCTTGTAAGTTTACATAATTTAACTACGTTGCCTTGAGTATTCAGCGATAGTAATTAATCTCATAATATTTTTATTTGTAGCTTCAATTGTCCGAGGTAATCATGCGAGCTCGTCAATACGTCTCTGACGTGGTCGGTGGAGACGGTGCCGTTTTGGCTCATCACGCCAAGACCGAAGTGCTAGAGAAAAAATTCAGAGAAGCACAAATTCGAGAATCTGCACCTGTACAGAAATTCTTAGACAAAATTCAATCCGACAAGGAAGGGTGAGTAAATATTTTTATGTTGCCTATTGCGTGATTTATATTTGAGTTTTCATCTGGAGGACTCCACCGTAAAAAGTATCTTTAACCAATTGTGTTTTCTCAAATGATGTGTAAAGTTAGTAAATCTTTACATTGTGATATAATCATTGTGTTAATAAATATTTCTATTATCTGTTTCTATTGACTACATCTATGCTGTATTTGGATATGCAGAAAGTAAGACTTATACTTAAATATCGTTTTGTATAAAATTTTATGTTGCTTTGTAATACTGAATTTATTTTTTATCGATCTAAATCTAGCTGTGCTTTTCAACTAAAAATTGTTAACAACAACAATTTTTATTGACTTGGTTACTTAGTGGTAGTTGAAAGCTTTAAACGTTGAGTTGTGGATTCAAACTCCAAAAATATGTGCTTCTTAGTCATTTAGTATTGAGGAGCAAAAATAATTGTGTAATTTCTATTCACAGAATGATTCACTTGTTCCCGTGGAGCGGTATTCTTGATGAGAACTACGAACTAAGCGAGACCTTCCAAGTACCGGATATCAAGACGGGTAAAATGGTCAAACTCATTACTCAGCTCACAAGCAAGGAGGAAGAAATGTTCCGCAACATGGTCAGACGCCTTAACAATATTGTTGCTGTAAGTGCTTTAAAATATTCATGTTTGGCACAACTAGTAACGTATTTCGTGCTATATCAATGTTATTATTTTTTCTTTAGGTTGCAGACAAACTAGACGTCCGCATAATGATCGATGCAGAACAAACGTACTTCCAACCGGCTATCTCCCGATTGACACTAGAGATGATGCGCAAGTACAATACAAAAAGGGTAATTATTTTTTATTTTAAGAGTAGTTCCATCAAGTGTGTATCGTTACAGTGAGGAATGAAATCGTGAATGAAATCGTGTGAAGCGCTCAATTTCTCAATGTGTGGTCTGTCTTCTGCCTCTCTTCTAACATATAGGCTGTAGTGTTCAACACCTATCAGACGTACCTCAAGGATGCTTATACCGAAGTCAAGACTGATCTCGAGCAATCCGAGCGACAGAACTTCTACTTTGGCGCCAAACTCGTGCGGGGCGCTTACATCGAGCAGGTTAGTTCATTCAAATTCAAAGCGATTACTCAAAAAGTACACATCGTAACGCTTGCATCGAATTCAGGGAGTCATTTTTTATCATAATCCATTATAATACTTTAGAATTTTTTAAATAAAAAAAGTGATCGTGAAAAAATGATGAACTTGTACAATTTCATGATGAAATTTGGCTATAAAGCGGTTATTAATGAAAAAATCAGCATGGCATTACATTCAGTCATTTTTTCATGTTCTTTTATTTAATTCAGAGAGGCATCTTAAACCGATTTAAATTATGCAGACAAAATAAATTTCGATTCAAAGAAAATAAATTTCGATCACTCTGCAAAGTTGAAATCGATTTAAGAATACACCTTAGATATCTATTTTTCATACGTCATTTCCGCAATAGTGTACATTTGTACCATCAGGCATTCTTTCATAAAATATGACTGAAGAATCCGATGAAAAGCTTCGGTAAGTCATGATCATCATGGACACTCAAAGTATTACCCATTCCATTATAAGCTTAACTATTTTTTGTCTTTTTCTTAATTTCGTCTACTCGTCCATGTACTATATTGTGCTATTCTTACCCCGACTTGTGAAAATAAAGGAGAGAGCTCGAGCTGCTGCAATGGGTTATACTGATCCAACGTGTCCAAGTTACGAAGCGACGACAGAGTCCTATCACAAAACCCTTATGGAATGTTTGCGAAGGATGAAACAATACAAGGACAAAGGCGAGGATCCCAAGAAGATTGGAATCATGGTGGCTTCGCACAACGAAGATACCGTACGATTCGCCATCGAAAAGTATGTTTTTCTGCAGCCTAAAGTTAATGATCAGTTTCAATAATGTTAATTATTTTCTTGTTACAGGATGAAAGAAATTGGAATTTCTCCCGAAGATAAAGTCATATGCTTTGGTCAGCTTTTTGGCATGTGCGACTATTTAACATTCCCCTTGGGTAAAATAGATTTACTTAGTAAATATTAAAGCTTCAATAAAATGTTTCTACCAATTTTCATGTTTTATAGGTCAATCGGGTTATTCTGCGTACAAGTACATACCGTATGGACCAGTGAAAGAAGTCTTACCGTACCTGTCACGTCGAGCCCAAGAAAATCGTGGTATACTTAAAAAAATAAGGAAGGAAAAGAAACTCTTGTTGTCCGAAATTACAAGACGTTTAGCACGAGGTCAAATCTTCTATAAGCCCAAAGGGAATTATACACCCGTGTGAACGGCCCCCACGACAAAATAATGTTACGTATGTGATTCGGGGATCTCTAAAAAGCATCTAGTTAATCCATTTGTGAGTTTTCACCACTCGAAACGCTTACGTAAATAGGGTAAACAAAATTACGACCGTTACTGATGGAAGAAACTGGGAAAGTATAAAAAAAAAACAATAAATACAAAAAGCCTCTATTAAAAAATTACAAAAAGTATGAAAAAAATAAGAAAAATAAATGAATATAGGAACGATAAAATGTAATTGCGACGAAAAAAAATATTATGCTTGGATACTTCTGAATGCAATACCATTTAAACGTGAATTTTTAGTAGCAGTATGTTCCGAAATGGCTATGAAATTTTTTAGATGTGTATATACCTGCGTATACCGATTACTTGTATACACACTTACTCAGTTAATAATTATTGTGAGTTTTATTAAGGAGTAATTTTATTGTTGTAGTTAAATTCAAAACTTTTCGTCTTTGCTATAAAGTTGCAAATCATAGTTCAAGTATAGGTTTAGTACTTCTGCACAACAGATTAAAAATAATATATTTCAGTACTTTTTTGATTTCTAATTCTATACCGCCGTTAGCCATTTATTATATTTCAACATCAATTAATTACCATCTTTGAATAATTAAAACAAGTATCGTTTCGAAAATGTAGAAGAACGTATAAATGTACGTGAATGCTGATAAACTACGTATTATGTTATGTTGGATACTGCGCCTGACCATTCAGAAGTGTCCAACTAATTTTAATGAAAAGAAGGAGAGAGTTACCTAGGACTTGTTGTAAGTTTATGCGAGAATATAAGGAAAAAATTTAACTAAACAAAAATAATAATAAATCACGGCTACTCTGAACGCTGGTAAACGTTCAAGTCGGTTATTAAACGACGATTGCGGTTTAAACACTCTTGGTCGGCATAAGTAATGTGCATGTGTTTTGTGTACTGTTATCGATTATTTCGGTAATATTATTTTACGATGTTTATTTCTGTGAAAAAGGATGCATTTGTGTACTTGTACTCTAGGAAATTTGATTTATGGTTTCAGCGTTTACTTGATTGATACTTGTTAATTTCGTACGGTTTATCAGAAATATAAATTTCAAAGTGATCCGTATTTTAAAGTTCAAGTATCTTGCAGGAGGCTTTTTAAAATTTTCATGAAGTCTTAATTAGTTTATTTTCAAACATTTTTTAAGAGAATTCGTACATAAATGTTACGTATCGTTTATATTCGACCATTCCACCGAAAATAAAAATTTTCGCTGCAAATTATTTGATAATCGCGATTTGGTATATCACGAAGTGACACGAGTGCCAGTTGACTTAAGACGGAATAAAACGACTTAATGACTGTGAATCTTGTAAACAAGAAGTACAATGCTTTACGAAGACTACGATATTATTTTAGACGTATTGCTTTTATATATGTCAATTCGTTGAGGCAGTAAGTGTAATACAATCAATCCACGTATCCTATTACTATTTTTGCTTAGGTAAATAAAATTATGATATTAAAATGAATTATGCTAAAAAGTATGAGGGGCTAGGTACCCACTTTGTGCAGTTTTTTATCATTACTTTTGTAATATTTCATCATGAGTGTATGCTATATCTACTTCTTCAATAATCGACGATGCACCTGTTTACATTTATGTTCAAGTTGATATATCTTCTTATACTTAGAAAAAATGATGTAAAATTTGGTATACATTTTTATTTGGATATTACCGTTTTATCATGTCAAAATTGAAAAATTTGAAAAATGATATTTTTATTTGAAATAAAGGCGCATTGTTAACGTTACTTAAAAAAATTTGCCTGACAAGTAATTATTGTGAGATTGTTGATGGATGATATTATTTTACGGTGCAATTATATTCCTATTTAGTTAGAAAAAATATTGTTACGATTGTATACGATTTTTAGTTTTTTCTTAGCTTGAAAAAAAAAGAAAAAAATTGAAAGCTTCGCATTAGTCCTGGTCTGAAGCGGTGCTGACAATAATAGAATGCAATTGATAATGTCATTTATATACATAACATGTGAAATGATTGTATAATTTTAATGAGCTAAGCTCTTATACTTATACGGTATATAATATACAATACGCGGATAGTTACATTTTTGAAGTACGTACTTATTAGTCATATTAGATAGAAATTTGCTACTCGAAGTAACAAATATTGATATATTTGATTGGTGTTACGTTATAATTATTATGAAATACCTTATATATACACGAAACGTTATTTCATTTTTATTTTTTTGCCAATTTTAATTGCAAAATGTAGATTTGAAAATTGTGACCCATGATCTATCACTGATTGTGTATATTGAAGCCTTATTTACAGTGTGATAATTATTTTTCAGTTTATTTTAATGTTGAAATAAAAATTCCAAAGAAAAAAGTTTAATAGCAAAAAAGTACCACTGTGTTATAAAATAATTGAATATTTATTTCTATTTTTTGAAATATACAGTTATTATAATTTCATTAGACACTTTCATAGCCTGCTGGGAGAAGTTTTCATATATTTATGTATCATCAATTAATATCCCACCAAAAAAGTTATAATGAACCTTGAAGGTAGCTTAGGCTCGTTTAATTATGAATGTTTCTCAAATGCATTATTTTCTTTTATGTTTGATATTTCACCGATTTCTCCCAGACAGCGTACTGCGTGTGGTTACTGCTAAAAAATTAACAATTAAAAGCTTATTATAACATCATCTATTAACTAACACTTCAATCCAGCCACATCATTTGTTTGACTTATGGACATTTAAACAAGTTGAAAATAAATAAAAATTTTATTCAAATTATAATTAACAGTTGTTCATTTAAAATAAAATATTCTCTTGTTTTCATTTGAATCTCTACTAGTTAACATTATTCAATCATTTGATGTTTTATTTTATATTAATACAACGGATAGCTCGTACAACAGTATATGAACCGAGTAATAATGCAAAAAGGTATTCCGAGAACTTAGTGACGCAAGAAGACTTAAAAGTAATATGTAAGAAAGTTCACTGCGATGCATTCTGTAATTTATTGTGTTCAACAAATTTCATACGAAAAATCTCATCTCTTTAGAAATAGCAAATTAAATTCACTTTCAAATTTTAATTTAAATGTTTTAAAATTCATTTTTATATGCAGGTAAAAGGAAATTTCGAAATTAATTTAATTTGTGATTTTAATTTTTTTATTCGCACGTTCAAAAATTTGTTCGAAATTTTAATTAAAACTGAATAAAGTAAATTCTACTATTTTAATGTGATTCCATTACTGAATATTTACCATTAATGAGACTTTGACGTTTATTAGGCACAGGTTTGAAATGTTTGGCAATGATTATAATTTCTTGTAATTTCAATGTGGATTGTATAGTAACTTTCTTATTCGATAAAACTTTACCTCAGATATTTTCATCGTGATATGACATTTTATTAATATTCATATAATATACACAACAGACACATCAATTGATTTTGAAATTTTTTCATTATTTATTTTTCAAATATTTCAGAGTACAACTTTGGCACTTATAAAATAAATAATCATGGCAACTGGTATGTAAATTTTCACAGATTAATAGAAACAAGCGTTTTTTGATAAAATTCACAAAACATAGTTTTCGCAGCAAAGTCAGATTTTATTTATAAAAACTATGACAAATTTCAACTACAAATCTATAAAAATTTTATAATCAACTTACACAAATCTAGAATCCATAGACATACAAAACCATGTAAAAAATGCAGTTAAAATTTTCATAAATAAACATCGAATAGTTTTGAGTTACATTCCATTACTTATATGTAAACACGATTTGAAAGAACCGATAAATAGCGTACTTGGTGCTGAACACAAATCATTGTTTTTATTTAAAAAAAAAAACGGACATAATTTATATCGTATTTTACGCAACTTTAAATATATAATATGTTTTTTTATATTTATGATAAATCTTAATAAACCATGCAAATGCATAAACAGTCTCATTAAACATTTGGCATATATAATTATGTGAAATTCGTTTTTCGAATTCTTTGTACAAGAACTGATTGTTGGAATCAAAGTAATTTCATACAACGTCTTTGTGAATTTTAAACTTTTATGGCATATGCAAAATATTTTCAAAATTTATATCTATGAATATATAGTTTCCACTATGTTTATATGTACATATAATATATAATATATGAGTTTTATTTATTTTTTGTTCATTCGGTAGGTAACAACAAATATATTGTTACGCTTGTAAATGTTTACTTTTTTCTCGTCGATTACAAGTAATTATGACGATCGATGTGAACTTTAGAATTTCCATGTTTGTTCAAGCACGAAGCTAAAACGTTCCATCCAGCTGCGAGGATGCAACATAAGCTTAATCTCGATTCGCTCCCACAAAAAGGTAGGAAATAAAGCACAGGAAATGCTCATTAACGTTAACATTTTTAATTAAACCAGCCGTAGCTTAGTTCTTCATGTTTTTTTTTTTGAGAAAAAGCAACTGTTTGATCGGGGAAAAGAATTATTTGCGTATACAGTAAAACTGTGTATGTTTATGATGTCGATGCGAAAGGTAAAATGTAAATCATACGCGTGGTGAATGGCCAAGCGATAAGGGCGAAACAAAGTAATGTGGATTGGACAAGTAGATAATAGGGGGATAAAGCAAGGAAAAAGTCAATAATAGTGGCTTAAAATGTCCATAACTCAGGAGGACGAGCGTTTCTGAGGATTAGCTGCTGGGTTAGCGAGTGCAACGGCGGCGACGGCACTGTTCGAGCCGTCCTTGTTCTCGGTCGAGGCGTTCCTCGAGACGGTGTAGGAGACGCTCGGCGCCCTGCTGTTTCTCCTCTCAGGGGTGCCGCTCGGCTGCTGCTGGCAATTGACGGTCGCTCGGCTGTTCCTCCTCTCGGGGGTCGTGTTGAGCGTCGTCGGCCTCGCGCAGCTGTCCCGCCGGTCGGTGGCCGTGCGACAGACGAAGACCCGGTGCACGTCGTCGTGGCTCCAGCTGACCCGCTGCTGCTGATGCTGCTGATGATGATGGTGATGCTGGCCCAGGGCGCAGGACCTCGTCGCCGTTACTCCCGCTGCTGCTGATGCTCCCGCTGCCGTGGACGGAACGAGCCCGGCTCAGTCGGCGTGCGAGCCCTTCCTGCGCTGGAGTCGGCGCTGCTGGCGCGTCAGCTCGCCGATGCGCTTGGCGCCGGTGACGATGCCGAGGCCGGGCGGCGTCGAGGCGCTCGTCGTCGTCGTCGCGCAGCTCGGTCACAAGGGGGCCAGGCACTTGCCGCGCTTGGCCAGTCGGATCTCTAGCCAGGCGTACGGGATCACGGACAGGACGAGCATCGCCGCGAGCCCGAGGACGCGCACCCGGGTGCACACGAGGCCGTGGAGGCCCAGGGCCAGACTGAGGCCCAGCCAGCGCCAGAACAGCGACGTCGCCAGGGGCCCTTGCCACGCGTTCCCGTGCAGACCCAGCAGTAGAGCTGCAGAGGACAAATTAGTGCGTCGGCTCACGAAAAGCTCGGCAAAAAGCTCGATCGAGCGATATCGTCGCGTGGATATTATGCATACTCACTGTAGACCAGAGTCTCCCAAATGGCGTTGCAGACGCCCCAGGCTGCGGATATGACGTGGAATAGCGCAGGATCGTCGCTGGCTGGTCTCCAAGCGTTGAGGGCTAGCAGTAGGCAGGAATGGAACGCCAGTCCCACGGCTGCGTAACGTAGCATATACATCATTGAGCATCGCAGCCAGTCGCATTGTGTGTTATTTCGAAATGGAAATTTATTATAAATACGCGACACGTCGTTATTTACGGCCCGTTGCTTATAAACAGCCAAACTACGACTAATTATAATATAAACGAGAAAAGTTTGATTGGTCGCAGAGAGGCGTGCGATAAAATTACTAGATGAGCTTACCGATGACAAAGTATCGCCTGATGTGTTTCATCAGCATAGAGAGGGTAGCCCCGGCTAGAGCTTGCAATAAGCCGAGACTCAGGAAGCTTAGAGCCACTGTTCCGGCGCCTCCGAGAGCACACACTACGTAAGCCTGTGTGGGTGTAGATACATAGTAAATGTTCATGTTTAACAAAACGGATATTGCACGAAACTAATGGCAATTATTCAAGTTTAGCTAAATTGCACCTTTTTTTGTTCCAATTCAGGTAAATATTCTATGCAATACGTTTCAGTAAAAATCGAATCAGATATAATTCTTACTTTCAGAGGCTACTTTACGATGTTTATTAAAAAAAATTTGATAAATCTATAAAAGTTGGAAAATAGAAACTTGAATTGATATCATAACAACGACCGAAACTTTTTCACCTTTAATAGGTTTGGATTGATTCAATTTCAGTTTGTAACGTTGGACGATCGGTTCTAACTATTTAATTAGTTTAGATTTTCAAACTTTTTAACAAGCTAGTTTCTATAACTTTAAGTTGTTCAAAAGAACCAAGAAAATTCAATAAAAGTTTACGTATCATAGATCCCCTGGAACCATTACCGATAAAGCCAAGTGTTTTTTTCATAAATAAACTTCATTTTTAAACTGTTTTTTCTATAATTGTATTGGCTACGATTGAACGAATTCGATGCTAATTAATTGTCCTAAATACCTCGGTAAAATCAGCATAAATAAAACCCTGCTCGAGACCGATGAAAAGTGTAAGCGGGGCCGCCAGTTGCATTTTAGGGTCCTGAAAAGCCACCTTGACGATTTTCAAGAGGCACTGGCCCGTTGAAGCCTCCTGGTGGCCTCCCTGATGGCTCGAGTGCTGAGGCTCCTTCATGCGGCCGTCGAGGAAGGCGCAAGATATGCCGAAGGCCAGCACGGCCAAACCCAGCCAGACGCTCACGATCATGCGCGAGGCTTGCTCGGGCATCACGATGGTCGACGTGTCCTCGTAAAACGTCTGATTGACTTCGTCGACTTCGATGTCCGGGTAATAGGACGTGTCTTCCAGGCAGTAAGCAGCCCCGCACGTCTCTTCGATTTTTATCTCGCTCGACACGCTGTAGCTGCTTCCGGTGCTGCTGTAACCAGGATGCCCCGGCACTGCGGTTATCTTCAGCAGGGCCCATGCTACCAAACAACCTAAGTGAATAATAAAGCAAGCGTCATTTCGAATTTTTATTGCAAGTTTATGGAAAATTTACCAAGCCCATGAATTTAACATGAAATTGGAAATTGGTGCACGAGAACGAGGACACATACACATTTTTAGACTATCATACGAACGGTCAAAGCAGATTAACAATTAGGTTTTTATTATATGATACAAAACAAATAGAACATGGTTTCAAATTATCATGTTTTGTCATGCATAGTAGTTTTTCTTCGAAACTTCATCACTGAGAGTCTAAAGTGAATGAAATGAAGTATAAATGACAATTAAAAATTCATTTAAAATTACAAGCCAAGAGTCGCCTTTGAAGTTGCTATTTTCTGTTTACAATTAAGACGCGTAAATAGTGATCTCGTGGATTTGACGAGAGCAACAACATCACGGCTGTTACAATGGCAATTGGTTTTTTGATGGCTCATTCTTATACTTTATTGTGCCATAAAACTCGGTGAAAGTTCACTTTGTCGAGTTCTCGTTGGGCAAAAAAGCAACGGAAAATGTTACTTTAGCTTCTAAAACATTATTTACTTTTTTCCTTGTAGTGATAGAAAATTTTAGTCACAAAGGCATAAAAGTGAGCGGACGAGCAGTTGCAAGAAAAAATTACACTTTTCTTTCATAATTATTTTATTGTACAATTTAAGAACTCTTTGCCGAAGCGAGGTAAATCTTTACTGTTTTAAAATTTGTATCATACTATAATTTAAAGTATTAATTTCTCAGCGTAAACGATCAAATTATGCGTTATGAAATTTTAACATACAGTGATACGGAAACTATTCACAGCGAAGTTATCTTGGCTGGTATTTTTAGTCTTAAAAATTTGTTAGACCTAATGCTAGGTGTGCTCGTTGATCGTTTTGCAAACAAATACTCAATTCCTACAAAGATGTATTTATTTCTATCTTCTGTATACTCGCAAATTTTCAAGTTTATGGTATGAATTTTTCTTCCTCCAAGTGTAATTTATAAATGTTCAAATGTTTTATTTTAATGTTATGAGGATTATTTTTTATAACGAGGAAAGGATTCACATGAAAATTATTCATTGATATCTATTGAACACTATTTCAATGAAGCTTATTAGTTCTACATCGCGTTTGGAGGCTTCTTTGACAATTCTATTAGGGATTTTAAACATAGAACTTTGTTGCCAGTAGTCGAAAATCAAGTTATTACAAATATAATATTATTAATATTTTATTTCTATTTTTCTTATTTATTACTTTTTCAGAAAGATGTGAGTCGGGTTCAAATAAAAAATTAGTTTTTTTGGAACAATAGTCGAATTAGAAATTACGATGATTGATCCTTAAACTGCAGTGTTCTATTCGACTTTTTACTTTATTTCTTATTTTTCTCATAAAATGTCCTATCTACGCTTTTAAACATATTAACTTAATTTATAAAGACGTTAAATTTCGTTTAAAATTGTTTATATAATATCATAAAATTTTGCTTAATATACAATACTTGTTTTCAAAACTTCATAAATTCTTGAAAGAGTATCTGGCTACCTTTATTAATTTTCTAAATAGTTCAACGATCTCGCGTATAAACAAACAACTCCTATAACTAATTTGTAAAGATCCACTTTGCATGGATAAGACATGCTTCGCCTTTGAGCTTGGCGTTAAACATACATTGACGAAAGCTCGCATGTTGAAGCTCGTAAGTTGCGAAGAGCAAAGTATCTTATGTACCCTCGGTGTATATCCAATGGCCCATCGACGTTTGATGAGATAAATTTGCCTGATTACCTCCTCGTGGCATCGAGCTTTGGACTAAAATCACTGCGATATTTAATATCGAAATTTAAGTGGCAAGGAGTCTGACAAGTGCTCACGAACGACACACAAGTAATTTTTTTTTAATTCTTAAAATAGCAAACATCTTGCTGAAGTATTTTTAAAATGTTGCAAGATATTAGCGAAAAAAATTCGCGAGATTTTTTTTTGCTAGAGTGAGAAGTCGATTTGTTTATTTGACATATAACTCTACTTTTTATAGTCGGGTGTGATTGATTAAATATACTATGGTATACCCTCACAAATGAATACTTTTGCGATAATTTTAAACTTACATGATTTTAAAAGATTAGTTGGATTTTTTTCACAATATTATTCGTAAAGAAAAAATGTAAGAACATGAATAAAAAAGGTTGATGTAACAGTGATTTTAGTTATGTTTTTAAGAATTAGTAAAATCTTTGTCAATCATTCATCATAATCTTTTTGGATATAAAATATTTTTTTTTTGGTGCTGCATGCTCAAAATGGGATGGCAAAATAGGATATTCTTAAAAGTAGTTTCAATTTGAGATGTAAGGAACTCCTATTATCAGTAATTCATAGCAATTACACCATCTTACGCATTCCTTCTTTCATTTAATTCTCTCCATGTAATTTACTTACTGTAGTCATGAATGCATAATTTCGAAAAAAGGTTGAAAAAAAGGAAAGAAAAGAAGACGAGAGAATTATTCGCTTCGATGCTTTTCAATGCAGCCCGACGACACAGAGAGTCGAGATCAATCGCATTACATGAACGTCGTACGTGTGATTGTCGATTGATAAAATTTCATCTGCCCTGGCTCTCTTTTTCACGAGGAAAAAATAGCGTCGGAGCCCGGGCAAAGAAAAATGTCAAGTCTAGAGTAGAGTAGAAGAGAGATAAAGAGAGAGCGAGTGTTAGCAGCGAGAAAAGCGACGGCTTTTTTCGCTCTCTCTCTCTCACTGCGCTCGGCGTAAAAGCTTCACTGCGGCAAAGTTCACATTCCTTCCGACTGTACAGGGAAAATTTGTTTTCTACGTTCCATTATAACATCCGACCAAATCACAAAAGCTCTCGAGGGTCTATATGTACGATATAAATGACGGATCAATACTCGTGTGCGGCAAGCTCGTACATTGTTCATTTCGTCGAACTTTGCTGCAGCTCGCGCTCACTGTCATTCAAATGGAAAACTAAGAGGTGGAATTATCTGCTCGGCATATCGGTGCGATTGATGGTCTCGAAATGGCCCTTACCGAACGCGAGTCCAAGATCCTCGGCCAGCTTGATGCCGCGATTCAGCCGCCTGAGTATGCAGTCGCGCCTCGTCTCGTCCGGGTCCTCGATGTCGGAGCAGACGAGGCCGAGATTCGTCGCCGAGACGTTGACGTGCGACACCCTCGACAGGAAGCTCGGGCTCAGCCACAGGCCCATCAGCGTGTAAGTCGGCAGCAGCAGATACCATCTGAGAACCGACTACAAATCAGAGAACCGCAGCTTGCGCCGCATCGATTTCGCCGCATATTATAAAATAACGATGCGCCATTTGACAGCTGCTTACGCGAAAATCCATTCGATTTTTCGTATCCGACGATCGGCCCTTGATCTATGTTTGAACGAGTAAATGTTGTCACAAACGCTGCACAGGGAATAGTTGACGCGATGCGGTGGCTAAATTTCTGTACGCGATATTTTCGCGTCATCGACCGGTGTAAACGAGGAATATTTCATTACACGATAAAATTGCATCGTGTGCGCTTACGGGCAGATCCGCAAACGTCACCTACACCCATGGCGAAAGCTTTTATTTTTACCAATTGAAAAACTTTTCTGCTTCGCTAGTGGAAAACATATTTCAATTATACAGTTGGCTCAAATCAAAGCAACCCGTATAAAAGTTTGCTTCATGGGTTTAGTCTAGATGCTCGGGGCAAAGGGACGCTCGTAATTTCCGGTAATGGCTTGGCACTTTTGCCGATTCTTCCAAATCGATTAGCAAAATAAATTAACCGAGTAGTGCACGAGCCATAAGCCAATCGTTTCAAATGAAAAAGAAAACTTTATTTGCCAAACTTTTTAATCCAAATCTCAAATGGTATTTAAATTCATTAAAAAAAAAAAAAAAATTGGGCGATAATTACCTGGGAAAAATGTGAACCGCCACGAAAGCGATGGTGATGAGATGGCCCAGTATCAAGCTGAGATTCGTGCCGAGCTTGTTGATGACGAGGGGCGAGAAGCAGCTGGCCAGGCTGGCCACGGCGAACATGAGGGCCAGCAGCACCGGGCCGAATCTCGGCTCGAAGGCCCCGAGGCCGGCTTGGAGCGGCAGCAGCGGCATCGTGGCGGCGCTCCAGCTCGCGTGGCCCAGCAGCACCGCCGTGCAGTGGCGCAGCACGGCCTTCTTGGGCGGCCTCGGGCCCGCCGGGGCGTTGCGCACTGCCGTGATGAGGCGTCGCACCGACGAGGCGCCCTGCGACGAAGACATGGAGTCGCGCCGACGCCACGACAGGGCCGACGCCCGGGCCGAGCGACACGAGATCGGCGAGTACGTCGCCATGTGCTGTGAATTCGTCAACGATCGACAATTACAATCTCCGCTTCAGCTGAATTAACTATTTCTTTTCTCAGTTGTTTGAAACAATATCGCTATAAGACGTTAGCAGATTATTTATTGATTGTGATTCTACTTCGTTTACGCTCGTATAATTATAGGAAATTTAATAGAATGCGGATCATCTTTGTCAATGCACGCGATACAGAGTTTGGAACGAGAATAATTATAATATAGTCGCTCTTTTTGTTCTTAACCATGAAGCGTGTCAAGCAGAGATATTTAGCATGTAAAAACTGTCGGATAAGTATACCCCTTTGCAATTCGCAGCTCGTATTGCGATATGCAATTAGACCTCGAACAGAGAATTAAAAATATTGGAAACAGATTTTGATCTGTGCGGCACAGCGAGCGCGTGGAGAATAAATTAAATCTTTTATAACTCGGTACTCATGTAAATTTTTCAACGAGCGAATCCTTAATTAAAACGTTTGCGTTTTTTCTGGCTTCGTCTTCTTTATAACGATGATTAATTGCGTACACATAATACTACTGTACACGATTGATTCGTCAATTACGCAGTCGCTGTATGGAAACAACCAGCAGTTTTCGAACAAGCAAGTCCAAAGTGCTATTGTATTTTTATACTTGTAAAAAATATGAACGAAGGTAAAAAATGGTCTGTTCAAAACTTATTTGGAACTTTTTTTTACTCTTACATTGGTGCAGTAACGTTTTCATCTCTCTCTTTCTCACTTTTAGCCAGTTGAAAAGAAATCCAAAGTATAGCATACAGTGACAATGAATTTATGGCCTTTGACTGTTCTTTCTCGCAGGTGTGCGACTATATGTGTTTTACTTCTTCATCTAAGAATTTCTGTTATAGGTTCGAAATCAACATTTTCAAATTTTTGTTTCACATAAATTCCATTTATATATTTCGTAAAGTAGAACAATTTTGTGACTCAATCTCGATCTTAAAACGTTATTGAGATTTTTCATGGCTATTTCTAAGAAGATTTATATTTCTTCTAATTTGTTATTAGAATTATTTACGTGTTTCTTACTTGAAGTGAATATTGTTTTGCACTATCACACACAATATACACGGTACTACAATATTGCAGTTTTTAAGACGCTTAAAATATAAACTATTCCTGCCTTTTTTCACGAAAATCTCTTGTTGTGGTCTATACAATCTGTTTAGTCTGAGGTTATATTACGCTGATAGTGAACTAAACTACTTGAAATGCAGCGCGGCATAACTTATTTTTCACATTATATGCTCGAGACTAGTTGAGTCGATCATCTAAACAATAATGTAAACAATTCGCATGACACAAAGTGAGATATGACCCTTTGGAACGCGTTGATCGACGCTTGATGTAACTTTGTTATTGAATATCAAGAGAGAAATATTATAGGTACGCTCTCATTTTTTTTGTTCGAGCTACTTTCGGTACTAGAAAAAAAGACGATTCCGGAATCTTTTCGGAGTAAGCAGTCGAGCAACATTTTTGACAAATTTTGCACTAGAATTTATCGTTTTGAGATTAGGAGGATGTTTTATTTCATTATCGCATTTTATAAATACAAATAGAAATTGAGGTTCTTTTAGGAGAAAGCTCTTTACCAATGCATTGGCAGCTGTTTTTTTTCTGTATCTCTGCCTCTTTCTCTCTATCTCTATCTCTTCCACATAATACGCGCGCAGAAGTCACATTATATGCATAGGTGCACGTGCGGCGATTATCGATTTGATGGTACGTATTTCTGATCGCATGGATGACCGAGCCAGATGAAAAGAAGATAATGCAAGGAGTCTCGAGAGCGAGAGGTAGATAGCGAAAGAGAGAAAATTTCTTTGTGTAAAGAGTCCTTTGGAGCTTGCTCATTTGGTATTAATAGCCGCACGCTCTCGGTCGACATGTCTGCGAGCATCGCGAGGCAGATACAGGGAGCTTTGCTCGGTAACGGATGCATAATCATTTTTACACAATTCGCAAAATTTACACCGCATTTCGTCTGTTTTCTGGTGAAAATTCAGACGTCTTGTTTTCGGATTTTCTTCCGAACGAGTCGCGATCACATCGACAAAAAGCAAGCATGAGCAATTTTCAGACTGATGCCGAAGTATAATACTCGTAAATGAATTACGTGTCGCAGACGCACACGTATACACATACCGACACTCATTGCACGCATTGCATTTTCATCTAGTCGCGAGCGAGAATGGCCGAGATGTAGCTTTTTTTTGTCCGAAACTCGAAATTATCGAGTTTAAAGTTTTGCCGCTTCAAAGCGACATAAAATAGACTTTGTCGAAAGTTTCTCGGTCGCGGCGACGTGGGTGCGTTTCAAAGGATAAGCCTCGACATAATCCGAGTGTAAAGGAAAAAAAAATTAGGTCCGCAAAGTCGAAGGACAATTTCGTTAAATTTATCGCACCCGCGTCCGAACCGCAGATGTAAAGCGAGCAGAAATTCGTAATTCGAAAGGCGCGCGTATATATACATGAGCTGCAAGCTCGCAGAGGCGCCGTAATTAAACTTGGCTGCATTTTTACGCGCGTCGTGTGTAGCGAAATAAAAAGTCTTTACTGCTCGGGAATAGATGGAGAGTCGCGAGGTGGGCTTTTTTCACTCTCTACACCAGCACCAGTGCCGAAACAGCTGCGGGACTTTATGAATTTAAAATGCTGGACTTTGCAGAGCAGCTACGTGCACGAAGTAAAGCTCGACGCATCTATCGGCGCGGATCCTGTTTTATTCGAAACGAGCTGCAACGGCGTATAGAGAGCCTCGAGTACATAACATATTGGATTTCGATACTACAGCAGAAGTTGTGCAAATAACTACGTCAACGGTCGCGTTGGCGGTTTACGTATACGTATATAGGGGCACGTGCGCGCGCGTATGACGCGGGGCTGAGCTTCGCGACGTGCAAAAGCTCCATGGCAGCTTGGAATGGCAGTAGCAGCAGCTCAAGTGCGCTGAACTATAGGTGCTTCGCGCACTCGATCGCAATTGCTCGCAGAGCCGAGAAACCGAAAGACTGGCGCGCGTTGAATATTGCACTAGGCCAGGCACACACGCACAATCGTACAGCTGCAGGATGTGTAGCAGCGATGTACACGATGCAGGAGCTGCAGCGGCTGCGCCCGAGAATTGCGAATGCGTGCGGCAAAGTCGCGAGGGAATTTACACGCCTACGCATACGTATCTCGTGTACAACGATACGGGCGAGGCGGCCCGAAGCGTATAGTAAATACGCTCGTCAATCGGCAACCGAATCACGTATCACTACCTCTATCCCCGGTACATTTCCGCGCTTTTTCGTCTGCCTTCGGAGCAGCAGCTGCTATATACTGCTGTGCGCTTAAACACGAACCCAAAGGACGACGACGCATCGTGTGTATTAATTCGTTCATTTATAAAGAGTAGCTGGATAATATACCTCGAGCATGGCGTCGTGATCGCAGATCTGACCGGCGTGATGATGATGTCCGCTGCTGCGCGCCCTTTTCTGCGAGTGCGCCAGAGGCTGAGGCTGAGCTGGTAGTCTTATCGGGCCGTAGCCGCACAGTGGCGCTGGCCTGTGCACCGGGCTGGATAATTTCTCGCGCGATAACTCGTGCAAATTTGGCAGGGAGCCCATTTTTCAAGCCAAGCTCGCTGCTGCTGCTCCGTCGATTCAAGCGGACGACTGATCGGCTGCGCTCCTCCTTGTATATCCTGCACAGAATAAATCATATCGACAAATGTATCGGCTGAAAATAACATATAGCGCATATCCGACTCTTGCTCTCGGTGTGCGACCTTCGTACGACATTGGCCACTCGTTAGGCGCGCGTCCGATGCTCGAGTCCCTATCGGCGCTCGGCTACATTTCTCAAAATACAACTTACATATAGTAGAGAATCGAGGTATATAGAGAGCGAGAGAAGAGCCGTACGAGTCGAGGGTCACGCGCCCATATACGAGCACGTGTATATAACACGTCGTATCGGCAACGTATACACGGCAGCGTGTACAGCTTCTCTAATAGCGCGCGCGATTCCTACATAATGTAACTTTCAAGGCTCCCCTTTTTTTCTAATCCAGGCTAGTTCTTCGTTGTTTCATTACGAACTGCAACGTACGAAACACGACTCGAGAAGTCGATAAACGCGTAATTGGGCCGATTCGATAATTATACCGACTCGTGCTGCTGCGGCTACATAATACTGATCCTGCGAATCGTCGCAGGAGCTTTTTTACTACGTTCATAATTGTATTTATGCTTTTTCCTTGTCAGCCGCTCGAGCCAGTATAAGTAGAGTGCACAGCAACAGCAGCCCCCTTTGAGAGTGAGAGAAATGTTCATTCCGTCGCTCTCTTGGCAGAAATATCCTCTCTCTCTTCTCTCTACTCTGCCCCGACCGAGTGAGAGGCGAGCCTGTGTGTGTGTGTGTGTGTGTGTGTGTGTGCAAGTGCGAGCTTGTTGTTGGCTCTCGGCGCAGCGGACCTCGCCTCTTGTTGCTCTCTGCAAAGGGCGTGTGTGCGAGTCTACGTTATACGTACATCACACAAACATATATATATAGGAAAATCGATTTTGCGCTCCGTTCCGTGGGTATATATATCCGAGTCTTTGTGTGTTTGTGTGTGTTGCTTATAATATACACCAGAGATACTATCTCGAGATGTATATGGATACGTATTTTGTATTCTAGTCGCGTATCTCGGCTACGGGTGAGCTTGCAAAATGTATAATACAGCGAATAAATATAAGGACGGTCCGCGCGGCCGCTGCTGCTAAGCTCTAGCTATGAACGCGTATCGCGGTCCATTTTCTCCCTCTAAATTATCGCGCGCGTGTGGATCTGGCCAGCAAAAAATGTTGCCCCCTTAAATTTTGTACCTCTTAAATTTTTCGCTACTTTACCTTGTTTTGCGCAGCGAGTCTATCAAGCTCGACGGATATTTATGAAGCCTTTCCAATATCTCGCGCTTCTATCTGGTCGAAGCGATCGGCGTCGAACGGATGACCAAGCAGTTGTAAATATACACCTCGGCAGATCACTCCGCGGCGCTATCTCGTGTGCTCAGCCGAATCTCTTGGGCTGGCGAGCCCAGCCGCAAAGCCCCGCATAGCCGAGAACCGAGTAGTCGCGACGCCTACAGTCGTTGTCGTCTGCTGCCATTTTTCTAGTCCTCTCGACACTGTACCTGTTGACACGATCATCTGTTGTCTAAATTAATCCAATTTATAAAGAGTATTAAAGAAAATTAAAACATAAAAACATTAAAAACTAAGTAGGCCAATGTTGTTATTTTTTTTTTACTTTATTTATTTGAATCACATAGACTCGATAACATCATACTTCCATCATTAATGGTCTTAAAGTTTCTTTTGACATTTTTCAACCCCGAAAGGTCCTTTTCAATTACATTAGTCAATATGGTTATTACATTTTTTGTACCGTCGTCATGATTTCGTCTTGTAGTCGCCAAGTAAATATGATATAGATCTTGGTTCATTAACCGATCGATGATCATTTGACATATTTCAATTGGAAGCTGATGGTGTATCAATTCCCAGAAAGAATATCCAGCGACGGAAAGATCCTCTTTACGTTATCTCGCTAAGATGCACAGCACATGTCTCTGGGATCATGAACTTGGTCCATTTGGGCATGAACTGAAAGTAGCTCGTGCATCTGATTTGTTCTTGAGCCTCCTAGGGTCGCAATTGAATCAGGTCGTCAAGCGCCAGACTCGGACTTATCATTTTACGTCTTTTCTCCTCTTCCATGAACTTCTCGTCGTCGTACCAACATTTTTCAAAATCCGCCGACTTCTCGAAAAATCCATAATCGGCAAAAAGTTTCATGATGTACAGAACACGTCGCTTTGGTTCAGTTCGTATTCTCTCTTCTCGAGACGTTCAACGACGGCTAAAGCCTTGGATACGTGTAAAAATCTCTGTTCAAAGCTAAAATTCGGAACTTGCTTAAGCCTATCAAAGTAATCCTCAGTGGGAAAAACAAAGTTGGACAGATCGGCACCACGATTCAGGAGTACATTGACCACATCCTGCAAGCCTAGTTCGCCACGGCCTATTGCAGTGGCGTTCGGCCCTTCTTATCTTTGGCATCAACTTGCACCGTCTGATTCAATTCGTCATTGATCTTGAAGAATAGATCCATCAAGTCGTCATTTAGGTATCTCTTGGAAATGCCATGTCCACGTTGCCTCGATTCGGACCGCTCCGCCTCTCAGCAGTGGCTCGAGCAACTCTTAGCAACCGTTTGCCAGAGCCAAGAGCCACGGCAAGTCACCCGTTTCTTGCCAAATGGTATTGGGATCCTGTCCAGCCTCGAGGAATCCATCGACTACGCCCGCGAGGCCGAACTTCAAGGCCACTTGAAAATGTGTGTACTCATCTTCATAATCGTAGTTCGCGTCGTACCTGTTGTAAATTTTGAACAGTTCGCCGACGAGGACGTTGAGATCACTTATAGATCACGCTTGATGTATCGGCGTGAGGTAATTTGAAATTATCTTGTTGTCCTCATCTACCTCGGGCTCGTCTCTGTCGTTGGTCTCGGCCACAGCCATATGCAAACAGGCTGCATAGCGTTGAACAACTTTTCAATCGATTCAGCCGCTAAGTCGCTGCTGCGCCTGTAAATTCCATAGTGTCTACTTTCTTTGGCCGTTTACTGGACCGAAATTTCATCGAGCTTGGCGTAGAAAAGATTGATTGATTTTTGAATATACCTACGCGTATATACATAAAACCGCCAAAGCTCCCACGGCATTCGTCACTTAAGACCTTCGAGAAATATCGAGGATTACGTGAAATATTCAAAAGAACTACCTAAGCCCGTTGAATCATATTTTTAAAGCTCGAATAATCGTTTGAAATAACATCGCCAGACTCGAAGAGAACCACGCATTCGTGAATTTTCATGTATGTATGTTTTCTCGATATTCCACCCATCTAGTACCGCATTCACATCAGGAAATCCAAATATAAATTATTATTCGGTTAAAATTTTACTTCCTTTGCAAAGAGTGAACGTAAATAAAGTTTTCTGTTTTTGATTCATACTTTTTATTAGAACTTTGAAGTAGCCGACTGGTTTTTAGTATATTTAAAATTTTAATCCCAGACTTTTATATAATACTCTTAACGAAAGTTTGAGAAGGTTTTACATATTTTTTTAACATGCATTTTTAAAAATATTTCCCATTAAATAAATTAAATTCACGAATGCTTGATAAACGTAAGTTTACAAAAGTTACAAACATTTCACCATTCGACGTCGGTTATGAAATGTTTATCTTTATGGATTTGAAAATTTTGAACTAGCTTTGCAATTTCTCAATAAAGTAATTATAATTCTTTTCCAAGTGCCTCAAAAGTGTCGAATGATTGGATGAATAATCTTGGCAATTTACTATAAACGTGAGTGGCAGACTTGTAGTGGTAAAATGTTCAACTATAATACTCTGGTTTATGAAGTTTAGTTTAACGCGCGACGGGGTGTTTCGCAGTAGTTGTGATATCCTCATTTACACCCTCGCGCACACACATACCTATAGGTGCGCTCGCACAAAGACGAAGACGCTAGTCGGTAAAGTGGAGCTAGCTTTTGTGCAGTGGGAATAATTCAGAATTTCATAAATTCATAAACGGGAGGAATCTGTTGTTTCATTGCTTTGTAATGTAATATAAAGTTTTAGTTTTCGGACATTTGAATCGGACGCAAAGTAATGCGACGTGAACTATTTTAAATAAAATAATTAACACGCTGTGAAAATGATTCGATAATGAGTTTTCTCACGATTCAAAATATCAATTATCCTTATTTGCTGGTATTCATAATTAAGTAGTGAACTTCAATAACTTTCCGTATTTGGTAGTGTGAAGTCACTAATGTAAATTATTTGTAAATATAATAATGTACTACACGTATACAAGATAATTGTGTTTAAAATTGAAAATCCGCTTACAAAATACGGAAATATAATTTTTTAGGTCCCCCATGAACCATCGAGGACATTAAATATTAGCGAGCAATGATTTTTATTTTTGATAAAAACGGATTTTATTAGGTAGAATTTATAATTATTTACCGTCATTTTTTCGATAAATCATCATTCGAATCGTATTCCATATACTAAATATTGTTAAAAATTTGAGATTTAATGCGTCCAGTACGAATCGTCGATGAAAAAACTCGATACACAGTTTTCAATGCTCTTGTGTAGATGCAATAATGTTAAAATCTCCTCGAGCGAGCATCATCTATACACAGCCTGTGCAAACAGTGAGAATCAACAGAGCTGCTGCTACGGGTTGCTAATAAAAAATGAAACATTAATTTTCTCGTCGCCAATTAACGCACCAACTGCAGCGTACAATATATGTGCTGGCCGGGTTTTAGCGATTGCTGCAGCAAGTTCTCGATCAAGGACTTCACTCCGAGAGTCAGTATATATGTTCAGGTACATATGGCGATTCCGCAAGTAAAATTTCTATTTCTATTTTTCTAAATTTAAAAAAAAAGTTTCCATTTTGAATTTTTATTTCACGAAATTGTTTAAAAAATTAGTTCAAACAATTCTGGGTACGTTTTTAGGCCAAATATTCTAAGACAAATGTTACTAGAAGAGCCACTACTAATTGGGCTTGGAATGTTGAGATATATTTCACAACGCAAGATCATCGATTTTCCCAGATAAATAAACACGCTCTCGATCACACACTATTTTAGGAGCGAAGTTCGCTGTTGTTTGCCGCGTTTCTTTAATACTCGCACCAACACTGATTGGTTTTTGTCATCGATCCGCCAGATATACTTTTTAGTATTCCTATACATGGATATGAAAATCGATTTCAATTTATCAACTTGTTCGTCGTGGACAAACTTTACTAATTTATTTCGAAAGAGTCCTATAATATTTGGAAAAGTTTTTACAACGCCGTCAAGTCGCGTTCGCATGAATAATTCAAGACGAGAAAGAATTAAAATTTGTAATTCGTCGTCGATAATATTGAGGTCCGGTCGCGAGCGCACAGAATTTTTTTTCTACGAGAAAATGTAAAGAGCAAATTTAAAATCCTCTCTACGAGCTTTTGAATACTGCTAGCAACAATTCGTTTTTCTTTTTTTTCCTGTCTGTGCGCAAGCGAATCGTTCAATGCGGCTAATAACTTTTCTTTCATTTTTTTCCAGCATCCACTGCAGCAGGAAAATCAATTAAAGTAAAGCAATACGGCTGTTTTGCGTAATATGCCACGCTCTGCAGACACAGAGGTGGATTTTTAAATGAAATATAGCGTCGCATTTCGCGAATAAAATATAATCACCGTGGCAGACGCAGTTGAAAATGTGTAAAACAAGAGCTAAAATGTCGTTGTTCTTTGTTGATTTTGCTCGTTTTTCGTGTCACCGAATATATATACGACTCGTAAAACGACTCGATGTAAACTACACGTGGACGCGTGGAGTGGAGCGATACTGTAGGAACTGCAGTTGCTGCTGCTGCTGCTGCTACTGTACAGACAAAAAAACACGACAATAAACAATTATTCAGTGCATTGTCTTAGGACGCGGTAGAGGAGCACTTCTGCGATTGTATATAGCCTTAATAAAGCGAGGCAACGACTCTTCTTAGCTCGAATATATTATCGTCAAAAATTACAGCTTGACTTTTACGATTATTCGCGGAAGCTTGCAATAGCATTACTTGGCGAGCTCAATTATTCATTACGGCGCGATTACGAATTCATGTAATAAATGCGTACACCTCTTCTCGCGCGCGTTCCAACTGCACAGCGATGAATATATATTTTGTAAAATTATCATCATTGTTAAACAGCTTCCGTGCAAAAAAGTCGGCCGTATATCGTCGCGTTTATTCTCTCTCCGTGCGTCTATTTGCTATATTGGCTGCTACGTGGATTTACGCGTGCAGATATGTACATCGTTTGTGTGTACGTGTGTGAGTAGGAACAAACGTGACTGCCACGTGCAGCATGTGTTTGACAATTTAGCTTGAAAATGCAGCGCGAGGACTGGGGCACGCCCGCGTCCGCGAGTGCGAGCTCGCTGTCGTCGATGTCAGCGCGATTCCTCCTCTCTCCCTCTCTCACTCTCTATGCATACGACCAGATAATTCCCGATAGTCGACGAGAGCTCGGACTATGAACTTTTTTTTTATTATCTTTATTCGAGTGCTGGACAAATGTGTAGCCAGGCTGGGCGGGAGGCAGTTTAATCGCTCGACCGCTGCCACGTAGCAACGCGTTCTCTGTTTATTTTCATTTCCAAGCGTGCTCGCGGCTTTGATCAGCTCTTGCTCGCTGGGCGACTAATTACAGCCAATCATTACCGATGTACTCGCGCGGCTTCCACCTCATAGTTTCGATTTATTCATCGCTCCGACTCAGATTTACCTTTTTTTTCTTCCTTCCTTCCTTTTCCTTTTATTTCTCGTAGCTGGCACTGTGGAAATTGTAATTTTCCCTTCAATAAGCGAGTGCCTTAGTTTTTACCCGCGAATGAAATTTGAAAGTGGCGTCGTAAAATGAAATAGCCCGAGTGCGAATGCACATACGCGGCTGTTTGTATGCAGATCTCGCTTATATAAAAGCGATGCACCGTATTATTTTACGGGTTTGCGAGTTTCTACGCTTGCGTGTTATATGTATGAGTATCGCGACACCCACGAAATATCATCCACTTTTTAAGGGAGAAACATTTATGTATACATGAAAACATTTATAATGCCTGTATATTTTATATCTCAAGGCTTAAATATATAATTATATGTATTCGTTCTTTGATGTCATATATTTTGTACATATATTTTTCAAACTTTCGCGCATGAATAGCAAAAAATAATTTTATCAACTGAAAAACTTCTTTTTTTCAAATGCAACTTGCAGCTCGTGCCAGCTCTC